CTCCTTGTCTCCGTCACTTAAGCTGAAGCTCTCTACACCAGCTGCCGGTTCCGTTGTGAGCAAACAAACTGGAGAGGAAAATGAGAACGAAGCGACTTGCGAATTGCCTCAGAAGGTGCGATTCTCCCTGCAGCACCATCCATGGCATGCAATAACGAGTATGAGGTAAGTGCTGTCACTGCTGCAGCTCTGGGCAACCGAAGCATGCAATAACGAGCTTTAGGTGAGTGTTGTCAATGCTGCAGCTATTGGCACTCGAAGCATGCAGTAAGGAGTATGGGGCGACGGGAAATGGGCAGCCCAATGCGTACCCGCCTGGCCTGTTAGACGTCAATTGTTGTAATATATCCACTTCCTGCAGCTCACCACTGTTCTCTTTCCACCACAACCCTTACCAGCATTCTCATTCCAATTCAGCCCTAGTTATTGCTTGTCAGTGACAAGGGGATGGCAAACCCGTTTTCATTCTTTCCGCTACACTGTTGCGTAACCCCAGCATTGAACAGGACCATGTTCCAAGTGTTGGAGGGGACAGCACCGGGGTCCAGGCCCATTCTCTTCTTGCACAAGGCAACAAGGACCAAGGGGAGGAGGAAGAAGCAGAAAGCTAGGACCTCGTTTCCTCGCAGGACCATGCGACATTAAGACAAGGCTGCTGTGTTGGTTGATGTATCGTGTGGTGGCATGTGAGCTAAGACAAAGTATTCTCAAATCTAGTATTATTGAAAACAACAATTAAATCAAATGTCTTGCACAAACAAAGCAACCATTTCCTACAGAAAACTTTTGTACCCTCTGCCGGTGGTATTCCATTGAAGTCTTCCCCATTCCAGGCCAGAACGAAGCGATTAGTTATCTGTACAGAAACACCCATTTAGAAAAATGTACCGTACAAGGGCTAGACTACATGCATGTTCATGTCTGGCACGTTGATATCATGCCAGACGAGGGGGAAACATGGATGCAGGCCCTCAGAAGTCAGAGAAATTTGTCTGATTTGCTTGGAAAAGTCTGAGATTTCAGATATTTTTTTGGGTGTACTCTGTGAAATTCAGAGTTTTTATAGCCTTAACTCTGTAAAAATCATATTTACTTTATATGCTGACTCTGAGATTTCAGAGTTTCCCGAGAGTGTACTCTGAGGAATTCAGAGTACAAACGAGTACCGACTCTGATTGAATGTACCTGTGCGCCGACACCCAGGATTAGCGGTGGTACATTGTACCTGTACCGTCAATCACGCGAAATCTGTGCCAACTGAGAAGTTCTGTGGGCGACGCCTCCCTGCGGCGCGATGTTTCCCTCGTACAGTTTTCCCCCGCCCTGCGGCACGAAGTTTCCCGCGGTGTAAGTTCCAGCTCACACTCTGTTAGAGCACTGATCGGTCCGTTGGCAGCTCTTGACTGCCAACGGACTCCACCACCACCACCAGGGTCCAACATGCTGCAGCAGTTGCCACCCACGTAAAGGTGTTGGCAAGCATACGTTGCCAACAAGACCCGTTGATTGGTCCCTTTGGCAGCATCGTGTACCAACACGATGTAATCCTCACAGCAGTGCACGGCAGATGCGCCTCGTCGTTGCCGTGCACTGCTGTGAGGATTGCGTGCGGAACCACCTGTCATTTCGGCATCGCACCATCCCACTCAGACCACGGAGCGAACCGTCTGTCTCAAGCAGGCGACCTTGAGCTTCGCCAAGCCTTCTTCCCCGACTGCCAACGTCAACAATTCTCCCGGCTCGTCCGAGCGTCCGCGTCCTCGCCTCACCATAAACCTGACCGAGCTCATTGAAGGGCTATACGATGATGCCATTGACAAGTTCAAGAGTCAGTGGCAAGCACGGTTTCCCTGGCTGCAAATCACCAAAACCACATCCGGCTTGCCTGCCTTCAAGTGTACTGTTTGTGCAGCTTATGCTGGCGACGGAGGCAAGTGCGGGAGACGCGGGAAAGGCGCCACGGACTTGCAGACCCAGTCGTTTCGTAAGCACGCGGGCACGGCGAAGCACAAGCTGGCGATGGCGAGACAAACAGCTGTGCAGGAGTGCGGAGAGAGGCAGCCGAAGATCGACCACCACCGCGCCACCATGGACGCAGAGCAGTCGCGCATCGTCGCCCTTCTCGACTCCCTGCTCTTCATCAGTAGGTCCGATGCGCCGATGGGGATGTGAGTGAAGCTGGTGCATTACCTGGCGGAGAAGGACGTGCCTGGCTTCCCGAAGAAGGGGTACGGCACCTACTACACCACGTGAGTGCAACTGCCACAATTTATTTAATGCACTTTGGCGTGTCAATGTTTAGTTCCGAGGATAATGTTCTCACTACTATCTCTATGTGCATGCAGATACGGTTTCGGTGAGCTGACGCAAGCGACTGCAACATGGCTCCAGACAACTCAGCTGGAACACGTCTTGGCGTCGTCCTTCGTCGGCATCTCGATCGACGAGAGCACGGATAGGTGCAGCGGGAAGCACCTAATCATCTTCATCGCTTTCATCCGTGACAACAAGCTTGTCACGGAGTTCATGACGCTACTCACCATGGAGAAGGCCGATGCAGCTTCCCTGCTCAGTGTTCTGGTGTCACATCTGCAGGCTGTCGGGGTCGGCCTTCAGCGCATAGCGGGGATCAGCACGGACGGTGCCAACATTATGATGGGCAGCAAGTCCGGCCTCACCACACGCCTCCGACTGCGCATCCCCCATCTCGTGTCTTCACACTGTATCGCACACATGTATGTATGTATGTGTACTCCCCATCACTTGTGTTGCGTCTTTTACGTCTGTGTCTTTCCCGATGTACTAAAGTTGTTTTCGTCTTTTGTACAGAGAGGCACTCGCGGCTAAAACGGCGGCCGAGAAAGTTCCAGCGTTCAGTGTCATCGACACGGTGATTCGCACCGTGGCAGAGCATCTCGGCCGTTCGGGGCCGTGGCATCAACGGTTCATGGGGCTCCAAGAGGTCTTCGCGTCCACCTCTCTTGAGCTCCAGGGCATTCATTCCGTCCGATGGCTTTCGCGGGGCGACGCAGTGCTCAGGCTTGTCGCGGTGCTTCCGGCACTCATCGTGATGCTTAAGGAGTGGGACGCGAACCTCTATGCTCTTGTTACATGTTACAAGTTTCATTTCCTTCTCTTCTTCATTGATGATGTGCTTGAGCAGCTCAACATCTTGAACCGGGTGTTCCAGCACAAGGAGGTGAGCTTGGCCATAGGTTTTTGTTAATGTTTTGTTGCAGTCGTCATTATGCTTTGTTCCTGTATGTTAACCGTGACCATACACTTACTACCTTTCTTTGTTTCCTGTCCAGCTTGACTATGCCAGCGTGCATGCGCAGATCAAGCGCACAACGTCCCACATCGAGAGCCGCTACGTTGATTGCGGCGACGACTTTGGTGGTGGCGTGAGCGAGCTGCTGTCTCCCTTCATCGTGCGCCATGGGCCAGGAGGAAACCGGGAGGTGAAAGTCGAAGGGGTTGACTCAGACGGCCGTCCAGCACGCTTCAAATTCATGCTGCATGAGGACGAGCTGGAGGAGTGGGAAGGGCCCGGGACCCATGATGATTGTGTGGAACTGTGCACAGAGTTTGCGGAGGTGATTGTTCACCAACTCGAGCATCGGCTTGGCGACCTGGATGGGATTTCCGGGGTGAAGCTGTTCCTGCCTGACGAGTACCCGCTGGATCGAGTCGAGAGGAAACGGAGGTGCCTTCAGTGGCTACAGTCGCTGGTCACTTTGTTCAAGGCCGACCTGACGGAAGAGATCGTGCCAGGTAAGCCTTTTTGTGTGTGCCTTTAAAAATCGCTGGCTCGATCCTCTGTGTTCTGTGCGACACTGCAATGACTGTTTACTCATTCTGTTCTCTCAATCGTTTTCCCAACCCCGCCAGGAGTCAACAAGCACCGTGCGGAGAAGGAGCTGCACATGTTTACCTCGGTGCTTGCAGCCTCTACCAAGGGCGAGCGCAGCTTCCGCGCGGGGCTCACAGCCATGCTCAACACACCTGACTGGCGGGACAACTACCCCAACCTTGTTCACTTGTGGGTGGCGGTAGCTGTCCTGCTGGTGAGCACCGTGGAGTGCGAGCGGGGGTTCTTCAGGCAGAATATAATCAAGTCGTGGCAGAGAGGCTCACTGAAGGACGCACGGCTGGGAGACCTCATGTGCATGAGTCTCATCGACTACGAGCCCAAGTGGGATGAGATCGTGACAATCTGGAAGGCCCACAAGAAGCGCAAGCCCCACAGCAACGCTCATCTTTCGCCTGCAGGAAAGCAACAGAACAAGGCCAAGGAGGCAGATGAAGTGATGGAAGTAGAAGACTTAGGGGAGGATAGTGATGCATCTGATAGTGATGATGATGATAATGATGGATTTCATGAGGAGAATTAAGAGTGGTAGATAGGCTAGGACATATATAGCCCTAGTATAGGTAGGTAGGACCCTAAATCTAACTGTTAATGCATCAGCAGTAGTATGTTATGTAGGCCTGTGACTGTCTAATGTAGTTCAACCAAGGTCAACTGCACCCTATACAACACACGGCTAAAATCAAAATCAGACTTGTCACTGGTGTAGACTCTGAATGCTTCAGACTTTTTTTTTTAGGCACTCTGAAGTTTCAGCCTTTTTTTTCAACCAACTCTGAACAAATCAGACTAACACAGCGTACTAAGTCTGACAAATCAGACAGGCCAAAAACGAATCTGAGGGCCTGCTTGTTTCCAACAACAGTGACGACTCTGGCAACTGCTCAATACCGAATCAGTTTTTTGTCCTTGCTGTCGCGCTGTATTTTGGCGAGTCAAAGGTCGTTGTCCTTTGACCTTAGCGTAACCTCCAGCTGTTGCGTTTTGTCAACCTCCTCGGTTGACTCGCAGTTGCTTCATTGTAACTTGCTTCGTTTTACAGTTCGATGTTTCGTCACAACAGAAGCGTTAAATCACTTGTTTCCAACAGTATTAACTGAATCAGACACAAAGATTTCATGTAGCGTAATCAAACTAACTCAATGCTTATGCCAGACCCTTCTCTATTAACATACATGGTGTCTGCCAGAGTAACCAGAGCCAGAACTAACGCCATGTCCACATTCGGCAAGATTCGCACGAAGTATGTTTGGGCCCCGAAGACAAGGTCACGAGCAGTGCACATGTCACGGTTCACTTCGGCCAACAGCATGTTGTTGCAGGTGACGATCTGTCATAAGGATGGCGGGAGGGGGGGGGGGGGGGGGGGGTGAAAGTGGATACAGCAAGCATTGAATAAGAAACTTATACAAACAGATGCAGCAGTTCTATCTGTCACACTCCAAAATGGGAAAAGAGATGTCCCAGTGGGGGGTGTCTGGGAAAAAGGTGAGAAGTTGAGAGAATACTAGTACCTTGAAGTTATGCTGGAAAATGGAGCCAGTGAGGTAAATGTCTGGGTTTTTTGTTACATTGCCCCGTAAAAACACCTACAAGCAGGGAGAGGAAAGACGCAAGAGGTTGAATAAGGTTGATGAGAAAAACTTTAGGTGGAGAATAGACTGGTCCGAAGGCACCGAAGAAATGGAGAATGGAGAGACGGAGTCATAGGGAGAGAAAATAGGAAAGAGAAGGTAACAAATAAAACTGGGAAAGAGAAAATGGCAGATCGATATTTGGGACCCTGAAGCAGCAAGCGCACCTCAATAACAGGTTGAAAGGTGATGTAAGGCCTCCTGGCTCTAAGCAAGTGACCGTCGGTTTCTGTGCTGCTCCCCGGACAGAGGTAGGTGGTGTTGTGCAGAGTGAACACCTTCCCTACTAGCATGCACACGGGTGCTCCTCTGGCGTCCTGAATTTCCGTCTTGTTGTGAATGGATAGCAGCCTGGTTCGGGACAATCCAATCGGTGAAGATGGGAAAAGGTTAAAGAGTATGAATAGCTAGTCTAGTAAATACTGATATCCAACAGTGGCAGAGGCAAGGCAAATCCGGGAAAGGGAAAAAGCTTCACGCAAAATGCCTGACGGAAAGACCTGTTTACAACTACAATAAGGACTCCTTAATCAAAGTGGTTCCGTAAAATACTGGTAAATTGAGGCCTCACCTGTTTGCGACTTTGAAGTGCAGATTCCCGTTTGTATCTTTGACCTTCTTCGCTTCGCTTAACGAGAACATCTTCTCCTTCATTACAAGCACAGTCTCGTACGGCAGGCAATACTGCGACCCCACGACCGCATACGGTTGTGACGGAACTTGGGCTTGAGGCGCAACATAAGGAGGCGGAGGAGCAGCACCGTGAGCCGGCTGCTGGTGATAAGGCGCTCCCGCTTGAGGCGCCGTGGGATAATGGCCGGGATAAGCGCCGTAGTGCATGCTCGCCATAGTTGCAAACGCACCCGTTCAAAACGATTCGAGCGAGACGTTTAGGCTTGTTGTAGGATGCTCGGCGCTCAGAATGCTCAGTGGTAATTAATATCCGTGGAACAGGAACTTACGAAATGTATGCGGTAAAGGCCTAATATAATTGTGAAGCCTGTCGTGTTAGCGATTTGAGCCAGCAAAGTATCACTGTTTGATGCCGATGAAATAGCCATACCCAGATACTTTATACGATCAAGAAGAAAAAACGGCGTGGGAGACGGCGTATGCAGCAATCGTGAGCTAAATTCCCGCAGCGCGGTCCGATCCATGGATTAGTGTGCTGGTGAGTGGGTGCTGTTGTGTGCCGTGCAGAGCAGAGTTGGGCTGAATCTGCGTGATCAATCGTGGAGGTGAAATGTAGTGGAGGGAAGGAAGCAGGAAGCAGGAAGCAGGTGAGCCGTGTGAGGAAAGGGATGCAGACGAAGGTACGGCGATGAGTTTGCGATGCGTGCGAACTTGGTGCGACTGCAATCTTGGAGGGAAATGGGCGGGGTGAAGTGACGCCAAGTTGGTCACTCAACTGCTACCACCAAGGCCACTATTTGATCTTTTCCCAAGTTGGGAAGGTAGGAAATGCGGAAAGCTCGAGAGGCACTGGGAGGAGAAAGGGTAGTTACAGAGAGGTGCAGAGCGTTGATAATTGGTGTGGGAAGCTGGAGCAAATGCGAAAATGCGTGGCGGCACGGGTGACTGACGGGTGCAATTGGGAGTTGAAAAAGGTGGGGGGAGGGGGGGGGGGGGGGGGGGTGGGTCGGTTTGGGTTCGGGGCGTGGGGTGAGGCGGGGGAGAGTCAGGTTTGGGAGAGCCAAGGGGCGGGTATCTCTGATGGAGGAATCCGTTACCGTCACTGTCAAAACCCGGTACGAGGAGAATCATGTCCATATACTTGATAACATCAGAAGAATTGCTTTCCACACGACAGGCCAATGTCCCTCAAACCAGAGTAATGAAATCTGGTCCATGTACGGTAAGCAAGAACTTCGCCAATGTAATTTGGTAACATACCAAGCCAGATTCTATAGCAGTGGCCAATTAGCAGGCCAATGCAAAAACAAACCAATTACACCTGCTCGTCAACAATCGCACTAAATAAACCGCAATTTACCAATCTTCCTCATCATGTATCAATCGTCCAGTTCCTCCAGCCCCCCACCTGCCGTTTCCCTCCCCCTCCCTCCCCACCGCCAACCCCTTTCCTCCTCCCTCTACCGCCACTCGTCCCTCCCCGCTTCCCCTTCCTTCCACTTGCCATCCCGCCCTCCTTTCCCTTGCTCAAGCCACTCGCACTGCCGCTCTGGTGGGAGTCCCCTTCGCTCTGCTCGTGGTTCGAGCTCCTGAGGAACATGCGAGGGATTGTCATTGTCGTCTTGTCAGAGCCCAAGGAAGACACTTCCACTGACCCCTCTCCTCTCCCTCTCCCTTTCCCTCCCCTCCCTCCTTTTCCCCCTCGTTCGTCTCGCTCGCTTGTTTCTGTTCCTCTACGGTCTACTTGCTCCTCCTTGTCTTCGGGTTCCTTCTCCTCCTCCTTCTCACTCACTCTCTTCAATCCTCCCATCCCACTTGTATCTTCCTCCACTGCCCCATTCCCCTCCCCTTTTACATGCCCCTGCTCCCGACCCTGGCATTCCGAACCTCCACCTGCATGCCCGTCCGAACCTAGCCCACCGACGATCTCCGTTTCGCCTGACCTAGCAGGCCCCATCCACTCGCCCCACGTGCCGTTGCTCATGCCCGGACCACTGCTGCCGATCCAAAACGCAGCACCAAGCATACCGCTCCCTACCGCACCCGGCATAGCACCACACCCGCCCACAGCCCCAGTTGCAACCCCACAACTGCCTACCGCCGCACCTTCCCCTGCCCCAGTCACTTCTCCCCCACCCGGCCCACATAACCCCTCCCTTACGCCCTCCATGTTTGCTTCACCCCCAAGCACTGTGGCAGTCCCTGCTCTGCTCTTATCACCCGCTTCAGCTGAAACAGGAATGTTGGCAGACACCAGGGGTCGTGTGCTGTTGAAAGCAGCGCCGGCAATGGTGGCAACAGCACAAGGATAACTTAAATCTGATGCTTCACATTCCCCTCCCTCCCGTCCAGTCCCCTCTCTAAATCCCCCTCTATCTTCCCCTCTATCTCCCTCCCTTTCTCCCTCCTGTCCTTCCTCCCTCGCTTCCATTGTACCCTGCCCTTGCACACACCCCTTCTCTCCATCCCCACCCTGTTCGCCTGACAGGGCAAGCATCAGAAGATCCAACGGTGAGGAATCCTTCCCGTCACTGCCACTACCACTGCCAATACCTCTGTCACCACCGCCCTTGTTGTTCTCCTTGCCCTCACCACCACCGCTGTTGCTATCCTTGCCACACTGCCCGCCTCCATTCGGTGCTGCTGACTCTGTCGCTGCTCCCCTGTGCTCTGCAGCGACCCCCTGCCGCTGTGGCACCTCCAGCTGCTGCACCTGCTGCTGCTGCTGCTCATGCTGTTGCTGAAACCCCTGATGTTGCACTTTTTGGAACCGTTGCTCGAGCTCCCCCTGTTGCTCCTCTTGTTCCACATGCCCCCTTCGACCACCCACCTCCTCTGCCTCTACTTGTGTCTCCTGGATCGCCTCCTCTGACTCCCCCCCACTCTGCTCCCTGCCATTCTCCCCCGTCCCCCCCATTGCCCCAATCTCCCGCATTTGCCCCAGTCCGCCTATCCCCTCTTCCCCCTCCTTCTCTCCTAAGTCCACTGGTTGAGTTGCCTCAAAGCACATGACAGGCTCTTGTGATGGGGGCAGGGAGGGCAGTGAGGAGGGCAAGTGTTCAATGGGGGGAAGCTCCTGACTCAGGAAGATGGGGGTGGACGGCAGAGGCAGATCCTGGCTTGTAGGGATCGACCAGGGTTCCTTAAGCGAGTCTTTTAACGCGTCGCTTACAGCAGCAGCAGTGATTGTCACACCAGCAATGGTTGCAGCGCCACCCCTAGCATCACCCCTGGCACCAGCAGGGGGTGAGAATCTCCTAGCGGCAGGCTTCCACAAACTCTTACCTCCCCCTGTACCCTCTACCCCTCCTACTCTTCCATCCCCATCGCTACTCCCTGCACTGGTGTGTGTGGTCCTACCAGTACAGCCTACCCCAGGTGTACCTCCCTCTGCACAGCCCGCCTCCATGTTCCCTGAGCTGGCAGCACTGGCTGCCACGTCAGCAGATGAGGGCACCCGGGGCGTTGCTGGCGCTGCTACAGTTGCTGCATCGGCTGTAGCCGCATCAGCTGAAGTCACACTGGCAGCTACTTTCCCTCTTGCTACATCCCCTCCTGCTACAGTCGCTTCTGCTACAGTCTCTTCTGCTACAGCTCCACTTTCGGTTTTCTTGGGAGAGCCATCAGTGTGCTCGTCTGTAGGCGTGGAGAGGAATCGGAAGGGGTAGTCATCTGGGGTACCCTGGGAAAACAGGGCGCCTTGGGAAAAGAGAGCGTTCTGGGAGAGAACGGGCAACCCTTCCAACCCATCCTGCAGGGAACCATGCCCTTTGTGGCCCTCGTCCCTCCCCTCTCCCTGCTGCTCCTGTGGCTCTGTCACTGCTGCTGCAGCTGCAGCTTCAACTGATGCTTGCTGCTGCAGTTGGTTTTCGTGCTGTTGTTGATGAAAACGCTGCTCCTGCTGGTAATTCTCCTGCTGCTGCTGCTGCTGCTGCTGATTCTCCCGATGCAGCTGTTGCTGGCGCTGGGCTTCCCCCTCCTGCAGCCCCACTCTGTGCCTCTGTGTTGCTTCCTGCAGAGTCATTGCCTCGCTGCCTGTCTCCCACTTCCCTGCCGCCCCATTATCATCCTGAGACCCCATAACGTGCACCCCCATTTCATGCACCTGCCCCAACCCATTCCCATGCACCTGCCCCAACCCATTCCCATGCACCTGCCCCAACCCATTCCCATGCACCTGCCCTGCATCCACCTCCCCCAAATGTGCCCCAATCTCTCTTTCCCCAGCCTCAGTCAGCATACTGTTCTCCCTGTATTTCCCTGCCTCTTGCGGCTGCTGCGCCTGCTGTTGCGGTTGCTGCAACAGTGGCGGCTGCTGCTGGTGAAGATATTGCTGCTGCTGTGGCTGCTGCTGTGGGTAATCCCCTGTCTCATTAGTCTGCTGGTACCCTCCCCCTTGCTGCTGCTGCTGCTGCTTCTGAGCCAGGTATTGCCTTAGAGCAGTGGCAGGCAGGCTGGCAGCAGCAGCGGGTCGCATGGCAAGGGGAGCTGCTTGTATCGATGCCTGTGGCGGGAGAGAAAGAGGCTGGTGGGGGGAAAAGGGAGAGGAGAAAGAAAGAGGGCGACATTAAAAGACGAGTGAGAACAAGCTCGTGTGTGTGTCTGTTCGTGCGCGTGTGAGTGCGCGCGCGTGTGTGCGTGCATGTGCGTGTGTGCGTGCGTGCGTGCGTGTAAGTGTGTGTATGTGTGTTTTAGACCAACGCTCACCTCCTGTGAGTGTGGGTATGAGCCGATATCCGAGGCACTGTCTCCCAGCGACTGCTCATACGCCCTCAGGTCACTCACTCCTGCACTGCCCACTAACTCTGCAGCTGTAGCAGCTTCAGTTCTGGGGGTAATTGTAGCGGCATGGTTACCCTGCTGTTGCTGCTGCTGCTGCTGCTGCTCCTGCTGCTGTTGCTGCAGTTGGCATGGCACCAGCCGCCCTGCTTCTCCACCCCAGCCAGGCGGTTTCAACGCCACAAGACCCGAGGCAGAGTGCGCGGAGGGGGGCGTGATGGGAACAGGCATGGCAGTGCTGCTTGGAGTGACAGGCTCAGCAGCACCGGCACCAGCAGCAGCAGCAGAAGCGCCAGCAGCAGCAGCACCAGTGTCAAGGGGTTTGAAACCGCCAAGCCCCACCCGTCTCTGTGTGTTAGGAGGAGGAGAAAGGAACATTGCCCCAGCGCTGCCACTGCCATGCCCACTGCCGCTGCTGTTGCTGGTGATGCTGGTGATTTCACCTGCTGTCACACCACCAGTGCTAACACGAACAGAACCACCACCGCCACCACCACCAGCAGCACCACCTTTCCTACTGAAAGGAGTGAACCCTATACCAGGAACGCCAGTGTTTGGTGGCCCTGCTGTGCCTAATAAAGCCCCCTCCTGGACCCCACAGGGGGGTGCTTGGTTGTGGAAGGAGAGCAGTCGAGCAGGCCCTGCTAATGCGCCTGCTGCCCCTGCTGGCGCTACTTCTGCTGTGGTTATCAGATCAGCACCTGAGAAAGCACCTGAAATAGCACCTGAGGCAGCACCTGCTGCTGTGGAAACAGGAGAAGCTGCAGGGAGTAAGGGTGGTGGGTGGTGCCCTGGTGGCAAAAACGCCGCACCAAACGAGGCAGCGGCGGCTGACGTGGGTGATGGCTGCGATGCTTGAAACGTGCCCCTCGTTGCCAACACCCCCCCCTTTGCGGGCCTACCCCCCCTAGAACCCCCCCGACCACCCTGGCTTACTCCCCTGCCTCCCCGCCCTCCCCTTCCTCTCCTTCCCGCCGTTACAGCCGAGCCTCCTGCTGCTCCGGCAGAGCCTCCTGCTGTAACAACCGGACCTCCTGCCGCTACAAACGCACCTCCTGCCCCTGATACCAACCCTCCTCCTCTCCCTGCCACAGCTGCTCTAGGCGCCCCTGCCATACCCCCATCCCCATCCCCATCCTCGTCATTAACATCCTCGATATCATCCACCACCTCCTCCTCCTCCCCTTCCTCCTCCTCTGCCCCTCCACCCTCCCCTTCCCCTACTGCTTCAATGTCCTCCCTCCCCTCGGCCCCACACTCCTCCTCGTCTGCCCCTTGGCCAAGGGGGGGCAGAGACCCCTCCCTGCTGCCTGCTCGCGTGCCTGAACTCTGCCTCTGCTGGATCTGCAGATTGGGGGAACAAAGAGGAGAGGAGAGGAGAGGAGAGGAGAGGAGAGGAGAGGAGAGGAGAGGAGAGGAGAGGAGAGGAGAGGAGATGAGATGAGATGAGAGGAGAGGAGAGGAGAGGAGAGGAGAGGAGATGAGAGGAGATGAGAGGAGAGGAGAGGAGATGAGAGGAGATGAGAGGAGAGGAGAGGAGAGGAGAGGAGAGGAGAGGAGAGGAGAGGAGAGGAGATGAGAGGAGATGAGAGGAGATGAGAGGAGAGGAGAGGAGATGAGAGGAGATGAGAGGAGAGGAGAGGAGATGAGAGGAGATGAGAGGAGAGGAGAGGAGATGAGAGGAGAGGAGATGAGAGGAGATGAGAGGAGAGGAGAGGAGATGAGAGGAGAGGAGAGGAGAGGAGAGGAGAGGAGAGGAGATGAGAGGAGGCACAACACACAATGTCAAACAAGGGGGCAGTGACCCCTCCCTGCTTCCTGCTCTCGCCTGAACTCTGCCTCTGCTGAATCTGAGGTGGGGCAGGGATGGGGAGAGGGGAGAGGAGTGGAGGGGAGTGGAAAGGAGTGGAGAGGAGTGGTTCACTCACGTGGTACTGGCTAGCAGCACTACAGCACCACCAGAACCCTCACCCCGGGAGAAACTTCTGAGACTTTCAATTCAAGACCGGGTCAACCAGGGTGCATGTGGGGCCATTACAAGCACCTTACCTGGAAGAACACCTTCGACACCAACCACTCGCCCTCCTTCTCCTCGCCCTGCTCCCCCACGTGGTACTGGTGCATGATCCAGTTCGTCTTCCTGTCCTTCCCCCGCATCCACCCCTCCCCTGCAGGGCTATCCATACAGGTAACACTGTAACAGGAGAATCATGGACCTTACCTGGTAAAAGACTTTCGACACCACCCATTCGCCCTCCTTCTCCTCGCCCTGCTCCCCCACATGGTACTGGTGCATGATCCAATTCGTCTTCCTGTCCTTCCCGCTGCCCCCTGCAGGGCTGCTCCGCTCGTCCGCCCCCCGCTTCTTGCCCCTCTGCGCCCGCGTCTCATACAGCACCAGAATCTTCTTCCAACCGATCTAATCAGGAGGGGTTTGGGGAATCGGGGGAAAAAGCAAGCAGAGGGGGTCCTTTAAGGCGGCTGGGAACCCTCTTGCCCCTCTGCGCCCGCATCTCATACAGCACCAGGATCTTCTTCCACCCAATCTGAGAGGTTATGGGTGGAGGAGTGAAGGAAGGATCAAGGTTGGTCATATGAGGCGGCTCAACAAAACACTCTTGCTCTTGCCCTTGCCCCTGTGTGCGCACGTCTCGTACAGCGCCAGGTTTTTCTTCCACCCGATCTAACAAGAGGGGGGGTTGGGCCGGGTGGGGGAGACGCAAGCAGGGTGAGTGCTATGAGGCGGCTGAAAACCCTCTTGCCCCTCTGCGCCTGCATCTCATACAGCACCAGGATCTTCTTCCAACTGATCTGAGACGCACGTTCTAGGGGGTGAGGATGGCAGCATAAGAGAGTTATTTGAGGGAGGAAACAACAGCGAGAGTCGTTTGGATTGGCCTTAGATTCGAATCTATCGATTCAGCATGTGAGGGAGGGGTGGGGGGTGGGATGGGTCCCATACCTGCCTCAAGCCCACCTGCTTTCAGTTACGAGCAAACAAACGGCGAGTCTTCCCTGCCTTGTGCCCACTTTCCTCCCGCCCTGCATCAACATCCGCTTTCCCTCCCCCTTTTCCCCTCCTTCCCCCACTAGCAGGCACCAGGGTGACAGAGCAGGCCCAGAAGAACTGACACAGAGGAGAAAGTGGGTGGAGAGGGGGAGTCTCGTACCTGCTTTCTGTTCCGAGCAAACACGGGGCGAGTCTTCCCTGTCTTGTGCCATCTGTACCCGCACTCCTCCCGTCCTCCACCCGCATCCGCCCCCCCCACAGTGCCGGGCGGCAAAGTGGCAGCGGAGGGGCGATCTGAGAAGATCTTTCGTCTCTTGCGCAGCCCCATGGCATAGGCACGCGACGGGCGGTGGAAGTAGTGCCGAGTGGTGCCATCCGTCACGATCCCTGCAGGAGGAGAGAGAACGGAACGGAATGACTGGTGGTTTGAGTCCACTCGCAGTGCGGTTTGGCCCTCTTGCGCAGCCCGATGGCCTAAGTGTGCGTTGGGCGGTGGAAGTAGTGCCGAGTGGTGCCATCTGTCACGATCCCTGCAAGAGGAGAGAAAGTGGAAAAAGGAATGCGCTGTGGTGACTTCAGCTGACTCGCAACGATCGATGTCTCGCTTGCGCAGCCCCATGACATTGGCTCAAGATGGGCGGTGGAGGTAATGCCGTGTGGTGTGGTGCTGTCCGTCACAATGCCTGCAGGAGGAGAGGGGGGAGCAGAAGGGAAGGGAGGGAATGTGTTGCCTCGCTTGCGTGGACCCATGGCATAAGCGCGCGAGAAGCGGTGGAAGTAATGGCGCGTGGTGCCGCCCATTACAATGCCTGCAGGAGGAGAGAGGGGAAAGGAATGTGCGCAGTTTGCCTCGCTTGCACAGCAAGGGCGTGAGAAACGCGGTGGAAGCAGTGTCGCTTGGTGCCGTCCCTCACGAGGTGTGCACAAGGAGAGAAGAGGAGAGAAGGGGGGCAAGGGAATGCGTCGTGATTGATGTTTGGTCGACTGAACAGCAATTCCTGGAAGTAGTCCCGAGTGGCGCCGTCCGTCACAATGCCTGCACAAGGAGAGAGCAGGGAAGGGAAGGAAATGTGATGTGATTGATGCTTGATCGACTGAAAAGCCATTCCTGGTAAATAGTGCCAAGCGGTGCCGTCCGTGACAATGTCAGCACGAGGAGAGAGCAGGGAAGGGAAGGAAGGAAAGGGAATGCGTTGGTGACGCGACGACAAGAGGGTGTGCTGGTGACGAGACGAATAGAGGCGACGCGTGACGAAAAAAAAGGTAGAGAATGCTCGTGGTTATGGAGGAGAGAAAAAGGACGAATGAGGATTTGGCATGCTGGTCGAAATTGTGAAGAGCGGAAACCTTAACCCGACGTACGCAATATTTTGCTGCCACGTCACGATGTAAACTGTGTCCAGAGACTCTAACGAAGCCAGAGCAAGGAAAGCTCTTGACGGAATCTAACAAGAACAACGCATGGCAAGTGCCAAGCGAAATCAGGAGGAGCCGAGGCTGCAGACCGACCGACCTACCAGGCAGATCCTCCGGATAAACGCTGCAGATTCCGTCTTCGAATCCTAACGTCGGAATAAACTCCCCCACGCGCGGGTGCTGCTGCCGGCGCGGCTTCTGGACACGTGGCTTGCTGCCAACACCCCCTGCGATGTTCTCTTTCCCTCGGCTGGCTTGCCTCTTAACGCCGGGCTTTAGAGTCTGTTCATCGTCGTCTATGCTAGCGTGCTCCTCGTCAAGCTTCGCCAAGAGGTGATCCAATAACTGTACATCTGTCGGCTCGAAGCGCACCCCAGCTGGGAATCCGGCCCAATCGAAAAAAGGCTGTGAGGATCCCATTTACACTTCCTAACGAGTCCAACTGAATCTGTGTACTGGAGACAAAAACGCGAAGAATAAGTCGAAATAATATTTAACCGACGGAGCATTAGGCCCAGATTAACGGGTCTATTTAAGCAAAACAAACGGCGGAACAAGCCGAGAGTATAAAAAACTAGACAGCCAATTTTCCATTCTCCGACCCAAACTCAAGAGAACCTCGAGTAATGCGAGATAAAAGAATTCGAGTTCGTTTCACCCATCAGCCATGGCTGCCGTCAAGAAAGTAGCTAACTCCCTCTCGCTTGAAACCCTCGTTGCGTCTTTCTGACGACACCAGATCCATCCAACTCCTCGCGCGCCACAGTAATCGCGACCCTCCGCCTCCGCTGGTTCACATTCGTTTTTCAAGGGGAGCCTCCGCCAAACCTACGGGACCACCAACTGAAGTCGGCTGCGCCTACAGTTCCGCGCCGAGCCATCGGCGCATCACACAAGCCGCAACGGCCCAGTCAGGTGCGCTTCTGTTGGCGTTTCCGCTTCCGCGGTTGTGTGCTCTCCGCGCGATGCACAGCGTCTGCTTGACGAAATGAAACCCTGGGAAAATGCTGTTCTGGTTGGTGATGCAATAAGCTGTATAAGTACAGTGAGTATTTTACAAAAAAGAGAACACACCCGTTTTCTAGTTATGCTGTAGTTCTCATGTCGTTACGCGAAAAAATCAAGGTAAGGATTTATTTGGAAAAACAATCATAATGTCTTATATAGGATATCAACGAAACTACTATGACGTTTTTTGTAAGAAGTTTCTTACTGCGACTTGGATCTGACCGTTCTGCACCGTGACAAAAACAAGGGAGGTCCAAAAACCTTTTCTCTTTCCCGCTGTTTTGTCCAGCATTTTCACGCCCAATCCTGCAACATCCTTCGCCCCAAACATTCCTCGAAGCGTCGCTTCGCACTTCCTTCCTCACATTGCTCGGCATTTTGGAAGTCAGCATCTGGTTAGCGTTTCGGTTTGGTCGATTTTTTTCCTACTGCTTTAAATCCGTCGCCAAACCCTAACATGGCGGGTTCAAGCGACGACCACCATCACCGAAAGCGGCACATGGAGGTACGCTCGCACTCGCACTCGCAGTCGCAGTCGCAGTCGCAGTCGCAGTCGCAGTCGCAGTCGCAATCGTAGCTACAGAAAGTCGGTGGTTTTTCCCCGTCCGTTGGTTTTCCACCAAGATCCCCCCAACCTTCCTAAACTACGCGCACAGTCCTCTTCCCTCTCGCGATCCCCCCTATTGCGGTACTCGTAAAGGTTAATCCTCACTCCTCGTTTCCCATTCGGTATTTTAAGCCCCAGCTCTCAGTTCCCTTCTCCTGTCCCCTGTCCCCTCCCCCAATCCCCGATCCCCATTTGTTGTCCCCATCCCCGATTTCCATCCGCCATCCCCGATTTACATCCTCGTTCTCCCTCCCCTTTTCCCCCCACCCACCACCCCCCCTTTCACCGCTCACCTTTCCCCCGCTCCCCGTGTTCCCGTTTCTTCCCTCCCCCCCAATACCCTACCCCTTCTTGTCCCCACCCATCCTCCCGCATGTCCTTTGCCCCGGGAATCCCCCTCTTCCCTTTCCCTCTACGATCCCCGCTCCCCCTTCCCCCTCCCCTTCCCCCTCCCCCCCCCCACCTCCTCCCCCTCCCACGTCCTCTCCCGGCCGTCACGCGGCCAAACGCCCTTGCTCCTCGCTCCGGCATGTTCTGCTGCTGCCCCTCTATTCCTTCCGCCGTGCTCCTTGCGACGGGCCCCTCGGCGCCCACGCCTTTCGCTCCTCCCCACACCCCACGCCCCACACCCCGCGCCCCACACCCCAATCCACGCCCCGCCCCGTGGCCTTGCCCCGCCCCTCCTGCCTACCCCATGCCCCCGCCCCGCTTCCCCCTGCCCGCCCCATGCCCCCGCCCCGCTTTACCCCGTGTCTCCCCGGATCCGCGCCGTTGCTTGCACCTAAACAGGAGATCAGTGGCTCGCAGAATACTGGTGTGTGTGGGTGGGAGAGTGTGTGTTTGTGAGTGCGGGTGTGTGTGTGTGCGTGAGTAAGAAAGCATGCGTGAGTGCGGCTTGTTTGTGTGCGCGAGCGCGTGCGTGTGTGTGCGTTCGTATATGTGCGTGTGTGTGAGAGAGTGAATGTGGGTGTGTGAGTAATTGGGTGTGTGTGTGAGAGAAGGGTGGAGGTATTTGCGGGTATTTGGTGGAAGAAGCCAAACTCACCAGGTACCCTTCCGTTATCGCCTGCTCTAGCTCCTTCCCCTCCCCTTCCCCCCTCCACTGCCATCCCCTCTGCAAATCTCCGCCGCTTATGATCTCAAACCTCCCTTCTTTTGGCCCCCTTATTTACCCCCTCCGCCTGGTCTCCTCCCCCCTTCCTCCCCCTTTTTTCACCCACTTTCCCCCTTGTCTGAGTTTTTTTATGTTTTTAGCTTGTCGCTCCCCCCCTTCCTCCCTTCCCTCCCGCTTCCCAGCCCTCCTGGTTTCCCATTTGAGGCGTTTGCCCGTTTTTCCTCCATTCCCCTTTGTGACTTATGGGTCGACTCAAAAGTCACCTCGTTGTCCATTGATATTCCGCTGTTCCCCTTCGTGCATCGCCGCCTTGCCTCCGCGTGAATTGAGACGGGTTTTGAGGCGCCTCAAAACTCCCCCTCCTACCTACCCCGCCTTCTTCATTTTCTCGACTCGTTTTCCCAGTTCTCCCCTTCCCCCTACACCATTCATACATCGCGCTTTGATCTATAATGCCCCCCCCCCCCCCAAACAGTCCCACCATGTTAAGTAAAACAGAAAGAAAAACAGAGAATAAGGATAAGGGAATAACATTCCTCCCTCCTTCACCTATCTCCGCCCCTACTTCCCATTCACCTATCTCCGCCCCTACTTCCCATTCACCTATCTCCGCCCCTACTTCCCATTCACCTATCTCCGCCCCTACTTCCCATTCACCTATCTCCGCCCCTACTTCCCATTCACCTATCTCCGCCCCTACTTCCCATTCACCTATCTCCGCCCCTACTTCCCATTCACCTCTCGTCCCTCTCCCTCTTCCCCGCTTCCTCTCTCTCTCTCTCCCTCCCAACAAGGGGCAAGCAGGGGGCATTGGAGCCCCATTCACACAGTCCCCTGTCTCGTCCCCCTGTTGGCTTTCCCCTTATCGCTCCCCTCCCCTCTCCTCTCCCTATAGGTGTTCTATCTACTGGTGCATGAGAGCTGGGCCGGAGGAGTGATTGGCAAGCAGGAGGGGGCATTGGAGGAGACCCACTGCCTGCCTGCATCCTCACCCGATCCCATGTCTCTTCCCCCTTATCGCTCCCGTCTCCTCCTCTCTCCAGTGGTATTTCGTCTGCTGGTGCATGAGAGCCGGGCCGGCGGGGTGATCGGGAAGCAGGGGAGCAAGATCAAGCAGATGCGGGAGAGCACAGGGGCAAGGATTCGAATGTGCTCCGTGCCGCCTACCATTGTGAGCTAAGCACACACTGTTGTTAGCAAGCAAGGAAGGGCAGCAAGCATGCAAGCAGGGCAGCAAGCATGCAAGCAGATGCGGGAGAGCATAGGGGCAAGGATTCGAATGTGCTCCGTGCCGCCTACCATTGTAAGCATGCACTGTCCATCTGATGATTGTGATGGTTGGATTCACTTGTTGCAAAGTAACTTGAAGGTACATCCCAGTAGCATTGTAATTTGAAGGTGCCTCCTTCTATGCGATAAATGAATCCGGTCTGGACATCCTAGCAGCATTCTCCGACATCTTAAAACTCGATTGGTATCGCAGTGCCATTTCTCCTTCGCTCCCTCCTCCCCATTCCTCCTCTCTCCCTTTGTTTCCATCCCTCATCACTCTCCCTCCGGCCCCGATCCTTTCACTCCTCCCCCTCCTCCTCCCCCTCCTCCTCCCCCTCCCCCTCCCCCTCCCCCTCCCCCTCTTCCTCCCCCTCCCCCTCCCCTCCCCCTCCCTCCCTCCCTGCAACAAGAATCAGAGGAGCGGCTGCTAGTCATCGCCTCGCCGCCCGCCTCCTCGTTTTGAATGCACTGCAAGGGCACACTTCCTCTTCTTGGTCCGGTTCTTTCTCCAACCCTTCCCTTCCCTCCCTCCCCTCTTCCCCTCACCCTCCCCTTCCTTCTTTTCCACCCCACCAGCCATCAGAGGAGCGCCTGCTCGTCATCTCCTCGCGCCCTCCTCCGTTTTTATCAAATCAAACTTTTCTGAATCATTCCTGTCTCTCACTTTCCTTCCCCTCCCTCCCCCTCCCCCTCTCCCTCCCCCTCCCCCTCCCCCTCCCCTCACCCTCTCCCCCTCCCCCCACCAGCCATCAGAGGAGCGCCTGCTAATCATCTGCTCGCCCTCCTCCTCCTCCTCCTCCTCCTCCTCCTCCTCCTCCTCCTCCTCCTCCTCCTCCTCCTCCTCCTCCTCCTCCTCCTCCTCCTCCTCCTCCTCCTCCTCCTCCTCCTCCTCCTCCTCCTCCTCCTCGTCGTCGTCGTCGTCTTGAAGGCTCCTCATCTCATAAGCACCCTATTCCCGCCCCCTTCCCCCCCCCCTTCCGCCTGCCCCTCCCCCACCAGCCATCAGAGGAGCGCCTGCTAGTCATCTCCTCACCGCCCTCCTCCTCATCAGACCCCTCACCAGCAGAGACAGCTCTCTTTGCCATGTTCCCTGCCGCTCTGCTGCCCCAGGTACTTTTTGTTAAGACCATAGGAAAGCGGGTATGTTCTGTTTTCATATGTGAGGAACAAGAGTAGGAACGAACAACATGTCGTGACTTTTGAGTCGACTCAGAAGTCACCTCATAGGAAAGCAGGTTTGTGTTGTTCATATGTGAGGAGCAAGAGTAGGAACAAGAGTAGGAACATAACATAGCTGCAGAGAGTAGGAGCAACAGGTCGGCATTTCCTCTCGCCCCCTTGCCCCGCCAGCTGCAGCTGCCTCCTTATCACCTTTTAGAATTCTCAAAAGTGATATCAGCATAGCTTCTGCACAACTCTTTCTCTCTCTAACCTTCCGCTCTGTGATGTGACTTCTCGTCTCCCTTTCGCCCCAATCAGGACGGTCCTCACCCCAACCAGAACCGCCAGCAGCAGCAGAGGGCGGACGAGTCGAGCCGATCCGTCCTGAACCTACTAGTGCCAGCGTCGCAATCGGGCGCTCTGATTGGCAAGGGAGGCCGCGTGATCAAAGACATTCGCGAGTCCAGTGGGGCGTTTGTGCGCATCACTGAGGGGCCTGCCTCGCCGTTTGCACTACCAGCAGATCGACTCGTGCAGGTGGGTAGGCTGGAGCTGGGTGAGGGGGTTTGGGGGGTGGTGGGGGGAATAAGGGAGGAAGAGTGATGAAGGACATCCGCGGGGCATTCGTGCGCGTCACTGAGGGCCCTCCGTCTCCCTTCGCCCTGCCGGCAGACAGGCTTGTACAGGTGTGCAAGGGGTGGGGTGAGGTGGGGTGGGGTGGGGTGGGGCGGGGTGGGGTGGGGCAGGGGGGTCTAGGAAACAGGAGAGGCCGCGTGATGAAAGACATTCGCGAGCCCAGTGGGGCGTGATGCGCGTCACTTTTGAGTGGGGCGTGATGCGTGTCACTTTTGAGTGGGGCGTGATGCGTGTCACTTTTGAGTGGGGCGTGATGCGCGTCACTTTTGAGTGGGGCGTGATGCGTGTCACTTTTGAGTGGGGCGTGATGCGTGTCACTTTTGAGTGGGGCGTGATGCGCGTCACTTTTTGAGTGGGGCGTGATGCGCGTCACTTTTGAGTGGGGCGTGATGCGCGTCACTTTTGAGTGGGGCGTGATGCGCGTCACTTTTGAGTGGGGCGTGATGCGCGTCACTTTTGAGTGGGGCGTGATGCGCGTCACTTTTGAGTGGGGCGTGATGCGCGTCACTTTTGAGTGGGGCGTGATGCGCGTCACTTTTGAGTGGGGCGTGATGCGCGTCACTTTTTGAGTGGGGCGTGATGCGCGTCACTTTTGAGTGGGGCGTGATGCGCGTCACTTTTGAGTGGGGCATGATGCTCGTCACTTTTGAGTGGGGCGTGATGCGCGTCACTTTTTGAGTGGGGCGTGATGCGCGTCACTTTTGAGTGGGGCGTGATGCGCGTCACTTTTGAGTGGGGCATGATGCTCGTCACTTTTGAGTGGGGCGTGATGCGCGTCACTTTTGAGTGGGGCGTGATGCGCGTCACTTTTGAGTGGGGCGTGATGCGCGTCACTTTTGAGTGGGGCGTGATGCGCGTCACTTTTGAGTGGGGCGTGATGCGCGTCACTTTTGAGTGGGGCGTGATGCGCGTCACTTTTTGAGTGGGGCGTGATGCGCGTCACTTTTGAGTGGGGCGTGATGCGCGTCACTTTTTGAGTGGGGCGTGATGCGCGTCACTTTTTGAGTGGGGCGTGATGCGCGTCACTTTTGAGTGGGGCGTGATGCGCGTCACTTTTGAGTGGGGCGTGATGCGCGTCACTTTTGAGTGGGGCATGATGCTCGTCACTTTTGAGTGGGGCGTGATGCGCGTCACTTTTTGAGTGGGGCGTGATGCGCGTCACTTTTGAGTGGGGCGTGATGCGCGTCACTTTTTGAGTGGGGCGTGATGCGCGTCACTTTTGAGTGGGGCATGATGCTCGTCACTTTTGAGTGGGGCGTGATGCGCGTCACTTTTGAGTGGGGCGTGATGCGCGTCACTTTTGAGTGGGGCGTGATGCGCGTCACTTTTGAGTGGGGCATGATGCTCGTCACTTTTGAGTGGGGCGTGATGCGCGTCACTTTTGAGTGGGGCGTGATGCGCGTCACTTTTGAGTGGGGCGTGATGCGCGTCACTTTTGAGTGGGGCGTGATGCGCGTCACTTTTGAGTGGGGCGTGATGCGCGTCACTTTTGAGTGGGGCGTGATGCGCGTCACTTTTGAGTGGGGCGTGATGCGCGTCACTTTTGAGTGGGGCGTGATGCGCGTCACTTTTGAGTGGGGCGTGATGCGCGTCACTTTTTGAGTGGGGCGTGATGCGCGTCACTTTTGAGTGGGGCGTGATGCGCGTCACTTTTTGAGTGGGGCGTGATGCGCGTCACTTTTTGAGTGGGGCGTGATGCGCGTCACTTTTGAGTGGGGCGTGATGCGCGTCACTTTTGAGTGGGGCGTGATGCGCGTCACTTTTGAGTGGGGCGTGATGCGCGTCACTTTTGAGTGGGGCGTGATGCGCGTCACTTTTGAGTGGGGCGTGATGCGCGTCACTTTTGAGTGGGGCATGATGCTCGTCACTTTTGAGTGGGGCGTGATGCGCGTCACTTTTTGAGTGGGGCGTGATGCGCGTCACTTTTGAGTGGGGCGTGATGCGCGTCACTTTTGAGTGGGGCATGATGCTCGTCACTTTTGAGTGGGGCGTGATGCGCGTCACTTTTTGAGTGGGGCGTGATGCGCGTCACTTTTGAGTGGGGCATGATGCTCGTCACTTTTGAGTGGGGCGTGATGCGCGTCACTTTTGAGTGGGGCGTGATGCGCGTCACTTTTGAGTGGGGCGTGATGCGCGTCACTTTTGAGTGGGGCATGATGCTCGTCACTTTTGAGTGGGGCGTGATGCGCGTCACTTTTGAGTGGGGCGTGATGCGCGTCACTTTTGAGTGGGGCGTGATGCGCGTCACTTTTGAGTGGGGCGTGATGCGCGTCACTTTTGAGTGGGGCGTGATGCGCGTCACTTTTGAGTGGGGCGTGGTGCGCGTCACTTTTGAGTGGGGCGTGATGCGCGTCACTTTTGAGTGGGGCGTGGTGCGCGTCACTTTTGAGTGGGGCATGATGCTCGTCACTTTTGAGTGGGGCGTGATGCGCGACACTTTTGAGTGGGGCGTAATGCGCGTCACTTTTTGAGTGGGGCGTGATGCGCGACACTTTTGAGTGGGGCGTGATGCGCGTCACTTTTGAGTGGGGCATGATGCTCGTCACTTTTGAGTGGGGCGTGATGCGCGTCACTTTTGAGTGGGGCGTGATGCGCGTCACTTTTGAGTGGGGCGTGATGCGCGTCACTTTTGAGTGGGGCGTGATGCGCGTCACTTTTGAGTGGGGCGTGGTGCGCGTCACTTTTGAGTGGGGCGTGATGCGCGTCACTTTTGAGTGGGGCGTGGTGCGCGTCACTTTTGAGTGGGGCATGATGCTCGTCACTTTTGAGTGGGGCGTGATGCGCGACACTTTTGAGTGGGGCGTGATGCGCGTCACTTTTGAGTGGGGCGTGATGCGCGACACTTTTGAGTGGGGCGTGATGCGCGTCACTTTTGAGTGGGGCGTGATATATATGGGCAAGTGGCGAGTCGAGTAAAAATTGACTCGTTTTGGCGAGTTTTTTGTTGCACTCGAGTCGAGTCGATTTTTAATTGTCGAGTTTTTTTGGCCAAAAATCAAACTCGAAAATCGCCCATAATATCGAGTTTTTCAAAAGCTCGTACAAGTTTTGAAAAAGCTCGTTCGAGTCAAGTAAAACTCGACTCGAACTTAACCAGCACCCACAGCCACCACTTTAGCCACACAGCACCAGCCAGAGGGTGCACAGAAATAAGGTCCATCCACGCCCACTCAACATAGCAAATACAATTTTGAGGTCGACATCCCTCAACCCAACACCCACCAGCATTCTAGCCCTACATCACCCCCACACTTTCACACCCCAACCGTGCTGCACAACGCCTGCTGCAATAGTGTCCTGACAAGAGGTTTGGGGAAACACCTCCAGCAGCCCACTCCCGCAGATAATAGCCACGCATTCATGCACCTGCTGAAACCTTGACAACGGTTACAAATCAGCAGCAATGTACCAAGCATATTGAGAAGGCCAGGTCTAGCGCCCTGGTGAGCGTCAGAGGGGGAGATTAATTTAGAGAATAGCTAGTCTAATAAATAAAGATGTCTACTATCCTGATCTAAACATGCAAAAATGGGGCCCTTCGCTCACAACTCCTCATCCAGGTCCACTCCCACTTTGTCATCCACCATGGCCACCTTGGCGGCCTTTCCCAATGGGGTGCCCGGGTACCGTGTTTGGGGGCCAGAATCATGATTCGGGAAGACTCGTGGCACGCCTGGCGGCGTTGCGTGCGAAGCAGGCAGCAGAGAACAAGGATGAAATCCAAATTTACCTTGAGGAGCCCATGCAGCCCCTATCCACAAACCCCCTTGCATACTGGCGTCGTAGGGGTGATTTGGAGGGGCTGCAGGCTATGGCAAAGGACTACTTGGCCATTCCAGCCACCTCTGCTGCCAGTGAGAGGCTCTTCTCACAAGGCAGGAACCTCATCACATGGCAGCGGCACAGGTTGGGTGCTGAACGCGTGGAGGCATGCATGACCTTGAAGTTATGGATCGCTTCGTACCCGGGCACCCCATTGGGAAAGGCCGCCAAGGTGGCCATGGTGGATGACAAAGTGGGAGTGGACCTGGATGAGGAGTTGTGAGCGAAGAGCCCCATTTTTGCATGTTTAGATCAGGATAGTAGACATCTTTATTTATTAGACTAGCTATTCTCTAAATTAATCTCCCCCTCTGACGCTCACCAGGGCGCTAGACCTGGCCTTCTCAATATGCTTGGTACATTGCTGCTGGTTTGTAACCGTTGTCTAGGTTTCAGCAGGTGCTTGAATGCGTGGCTTTTATCTGCGGGAGTGGGCTGCTGGAGGTGTTTCCCCAAACCTCTTGTCAGGACACTATTGCAGCAGGCGTTGTGCAGCACGGTTGGGGTGTGAAAGTGTGGGGGTGATGTAGGGCTAGAATGCTGGTGGGTGTTGGGTTGAGGGATGTCGACCTCAAAATTGTAGTTGCTATGTTGAGTGGGCGTGGATGGACCTTATTTCTGTGCACCCTCTGGCTGGTGCTGTGTGGCTAAAGTGGTGGCTGTGGGTGCTGGTTAAGTTCGAGTCGAGTTTTACTTGACTCGAACGAGCTTTTTCAAAACTTGTACGAGCTTTTGAAAAACTCGATATTATGGGCGATTTTCGAGTTTGATTTTTGGCCAAAAAAACTCGACAATTAAAAATCGACTCGACTCGAGTGCAACAAAAAACTCGCCAAAACGAGTCAATTTTTACTCGACTCGCCACTTGCCCATATATACTTGGCGCCTAAATCCTCGAAACATGGTGTCGCAGCTGAACGGGACTTTCTAGGCTTTTTGGCGGCCTTTGGTTTGACCACAGCCGCAGGCGCGGTAGGAGCAGCATTGTGTGGTGGACGTGGCTGAGAACAACCCACGCCTCCGTTCCCACCAGCCCCCCTCTTTGCAACTCGTCCCCCTCCTCCACGCGCTCTCCCACCCGCTCTTCCAACCTTTCCCCCACCTCGACCCCGCCTCAATCCGCCACCACGCTTCTTAGAAGGTTCCTGGTCGGCCATAGCACGTTTCCCCTTCGCATCCGCCTTTGTAGCCCGTTGTAGACCTCGTAGTGTTTTTGTGGCCCCCTCTTCCTCATTTTCCAATGCAGCAAAGTCCTCTTCCCTATCCTCCTCAACCTCATCATCCTCAGCATTGTACATCTCTTCCTCTGAGTTTGTCACCTTCTTATCCTCCTCCTCCTCCTCCTCCTCCTCCTCCTCCTCCTCCTCCTCCTCCTCCTCCTCCTCCTCCTCCTCCTCCTCCTCCTCCTCCTCCTCCTCCTCCTCCTCCTCCTCCTCCTCCTCATCTGCCTCATCCACATGCTCCTCCCCTCCCCCCTTTATATAAATATCATTCCCACCCTTACTCTCCCTCATGACTTGGTCGGACAACTCTTCCATGAATGCATTGCTAAACCATTCTGTTACAACCCCCCCTGCTGCCTCCCCCCACGCCTTCCGCAATCCCTCCGCCTTCCCCGCCTCCACCTCCTCCCGAGGCATGGGTCCGCCGCCCCCAACCCCCCCACCCTTGTGGTTATCATCCGCCTGCCGTGCCCCATCAACCCCCATTCCAGCCATGGCAGACCCCGCCACCATGGGGACAGCAACGTCCCCTACCGCCCCCTGCTCGGCCCCTGCAGATGTACCTGCGGCGGATGAACCCCCTCAAGCCATGTCTCTACCCCGCCCACCACCCTTGGCGGACGCTTGCAACATCTTTGCAGAGTCCGTAGCTGTTACAATGGCTTGATAACGGCGTTGCTCCGATCCGGGGAGGGCGTGGAGCTCGATGTCATCTCCATTGACACCCTCACCGCCTCATCCTGCCCCCCTACCGCCTCCGCCACGTACTCTCCCTCCTCTCCCTGCACCCGATCTACCACGCACCATGCTATTCCACGCAGTCACTCCAAAACCAACCGTGCAAATTAGCTGTTTTCACCTTAACTTAGTCTAATTCAAGGGGAGAAGACGTATGGGTCCGAAATTGAAGTGTGTTATAATGCTTGCGGGTGTCATTAGCCTTCCACCTGACTGAAACCCTAGATAAACACGATTTTGTTTAAGAAGAACACGTAGGCTGAGCGGACGTTCCTAGGTGTGGTAGAACACCTAGAAACTACCCAACGAAATGGTGGTTCCTTTTAGAACTTGGAAACCAGATCTGAAAAATGAACATTTTTTACATTTGTATCTGACCCAGGTGACGCGCGAGTTTTTTTAAGCTCGAAACTGGATAGGAAAAACTTGCGAGTCTAAAAAACTCGCGAGTAGTAAAAAAACTCGTGAAAAAAACAGAGTTTTCCGCGAGCTTTTTTTTACTCGCGAGTAAAACTCGACTCGGGCGTCCGAGTTTTTCCAACAAAAAAAACGAACTCGAAACTCGAGCTTTTCGAGTCCCTCGAACGAGGCGAGTAAAAACTTGACTCGTTTGCCCATGTATAGGGCGTGATGCGCGTCACTTTTGAGTCACTGAGGGCCATCCATTTCCCTTCGCCCTGCCGGCAGACAGGCTTGTACTGGTGTGCAAGGGTTGGCGTGGGGTGGGGTGGAGTACGGTTACAAGGAGGGGGGGGAAAGTGGGGGGGGTGGGAGAGGGGGGGGTGGCAGGAGGGATGAAGGGCATCCGCGAGTTCAGTGGGGCGTTTGAGACGTCTAAAAAAATCACTCATATCACATTGCGGAGGGGCCCGCTTCTTCTTTTGCCCTGCCATGCCAACAGACAGGCTCGTGCACGTGAGCATGGGGATGGGGGGAGAGGAGGGGAGGGAGATGTTGTGACTTCAGCTGATAGCAGCCGGTGTCGTGGGTGGGGGGGGCAGGGGGGTGAAGGGGCATTCGCGAGTCCAGCAGGGCGATTGTGCACATTGCACATGGTCCCTCCTTCCCCTTTGCATTACCAGCAGACAGGCTTGTGCAGGTGCTGTGGGGTGGGGTGCGGTGCGGTGGGATGGGCAGGGGGATGAAGGGCACTCGCGAGTCCAGCAGGGCGCTTGTGCGCATTCCAGAGGGGCGTGCCTTGTCGCCCTGACATCAGATGGCTCGTGCACGTGAGCAAGGGTTGGGGTGCGGTGGGGTTGGGTGGGGTGGGGTGGAAGTTGGGGTGAGGGGGGGTAGGAAGGGGTAAGGGTGATGAAGGGCATTCGTGAGTCCAGTGGGGCGCTTGTGCGCCTTGCAGAAGGGTCTGCGCCTTGCAGAAGGGTGTGCGCCTTGCAGAGGGGTGTGCCCCGTCGCCCTGCCGCTGCACTGCACCTTACCCCCATCCCACCCCATCCGGCCCCGCCCCACCTCACTCCACCGCATCAGATCACTGCAACAGCCCCGAAGCTGGAGGCAGCGCTCAAGGCGATTGCCAACGTACTCAAGTGAGTTTCTCTTATGCAAGTTGTCAAGTCACGTGTTTGAAGTAATGCTTTGAGACGTCTCAAAACATTACTTCCAACGTGCTCAAGTGAGTGTCTCTCGTGCTATTTGTGAAGGCATTGAAAGCAATGCCAAGTGTGCTCATAGCATGTCCAATGCTTGTCTTGTCCTTACACATAGCATATGCTATGTGAGAGCATGGCGTGAGAGCATGGCGTGAGAGCATCTCTCTGTCTCTCTGTCTCGCTGTCTCTCTGTCTCTCTATCTCCCTGTCTCACTGTCTCTCTGTCTCTCTGTCTCTCTGTGCCTCTGTCTCTCTGTCTCTCTGTCTCTCTGTCTCTCTGTCTCTCTGTCTCTCTGTCTCGCTGTCTCTCTGTCTCTGTCTCTCTGTCTCTCTGTCTCTCTGTCTCTCTGTCTCTCTGTCTCGCTGTTTCTCTGTCTCTGTCTCTCTGTCTCTCTGTCTCTCTGTCTCTCTGTCTCTCTGTCTCGCTGTCTCTCTGTCGCTGTCTCTCTGTCTCTCTGTCTCTCTGTCTCTTTGTCTTTTTGTTCCTCTGTCCCTCTGTCTCTCTGTCTCCCTGTCTCCCTGTCTCTCTGTCTCTCTGTCTCTGTCTCTCTGTCTCTCTGTCTCTCTGTCTCTCTGTCTCGCTGTTTCTCTGTCTCTGTCTCTCTGTCTCTCTGTCTCTCTGTCTCTCTGTCTCTCTGTCTCGCTGTCTCTCTGTCTCTGTCTCTCTGTCTCCCTGTCTCTTTGTCTCTCTGTCCCTCTGTCTCTCTGTCTCTCTGTCTCCCTGTCTCTCTGTCTCTCTGTCTCTCTGTCTCTCTGTCTCTCTGTCTCTCTGTCTCTCTGTCTCGCTGTCTCTCTGTCTCTGTCTCTCTGTCTCTCTGTCTCTCTGTCTCGCTGTTTCTCTGTCTCTGTCTCTCTATCTCTCTGTCTCTCTGTCTCTCTGTCTCTCTGTCTCGCTGTCTCTCTGTCTCTGTCTCTCTGTCTCTCTGTCTCTCTGTCTCTCTGTCTCTTTGTCTTTTTGTTCCTCTGTCCCTCTGTCTCTCTGTCTCCCTGTCTCCCTGTCTCTCTGTCTCTCTGTCTCTGTCTCTCTGTCTCTCTGTCTCTCTGTCTCGCTGTTTCTCTGTCTCTGTCTCTCTGTCTCTCTGTCTCTCTGTCTCTCTGTCTCGCTGTCTCTCTGTCTCTGTCTCTCTGTCTCCCTGTCTCTCTGTCTCTCTGTCCCTCTGTCTCTCTGTCTCTATGTCTCTCTGTCTCTCTGTCTCTCTGTCTCTCTGTCTCTCTGTCTCTCTGTCTCTCTGTCTCGCTGTCTCTCTGTCTCTGTCTCTCTGTCTCTCTGTCTCTCTGTCTCTCTGTCTCGCTGTTTCTCTGTCTCTGTCTCTCTGTCTCTCTGTCTCTCTGTCTCTCTGTCTCTCTGTCTCGCTGTCTCTCTCTCTCTCTCTCTCTCTCTCTCTCTCTCTCTCTCTCTCTCTCTCTCTCTCTCTCTCTCTCTCTCTCTCTCTCTCTCTCTCTCTGTCTCTCTGTCTCTTTGTCTTTTTGTTCCTCTGTCCCTCTGTCTCTCTGTCCCTCTGTCTCTCTGTCTCTCTGTCTCCCTGTCTCTCTGCCTCTCTGTCTCTCTGTCTCTCTGTCTCTCTGTCTCTCTGTCTCTCTGTTTCTCTGTTTCTCTGTCTCTCTGTCTCTCTGTCTCTCTGTCTCTCTGTCTCTCTGTCTCTCTGTCTCTCTGTCTCTCTGTCTCTTTGTCTCTCTGTCTCTCTGTCTCTCTGTCTCTCTGTCTCTCTGTCTCTCTGTCTCTCTGTCTCTGTCCCTCTGTCTCTCTGTCTCGCTGTCTCTCTGTCTCTCTGTCTCTCTGTCTCTCTGTCTCTCTGTCTCTCTGTCTCTCTGTCTCTCTGTCTCTCTGTCTCCCTGTTTCTCTGTCTCTCTGTCTCTCTGTCCCTCTGTCTCTCTGTCTCGCTGTCTCTCTGTCTCTCTGTCTCGCTGTCTCTCTGTCTCTGTCTCTCTGTCTCTCTGTCTCTGTCTCTCTGCCTCTCTGTCTCCCTGTCTCTCTGTCTCGCTGTCTCTCTGTCTCTGTCTCTCTGTCTCTCTGTCTCTCTGTCTCTCTGTCTCTCTGCCTCTCTGTCTCTCTGTCTCTCTGTCCCTCTGTCTCTCTGTCTCGCTGTCTCTCTGTCTCTCTGTCTCGCTGTCTCTCTGTCTCTGTCTCTCTGTCTCTCTGTCTCTCTGTCTCTCTGTCTCGCTGTCTCTCTCTCTCTGTCTCTCTGTCTCTCTGTCTCTCTGTCTCTGTCTCTCTGTCTCTCTGTCTCTGTCTCTCTGTCTCTCTGTCTCTGTCTCTCTGTCTCTCTGTCTCTCTGTCTCTCTGTCTCTCTGTCTCTCTGTCCCTCTGTCCCTCTGTCTCTCTGTCTCTCTGTCTCTCTGTCTCTCTGTCTCTCTGTCCCTCTGTCTCTCTGTCTCTCTGTCTCGCTGTCTCTCTGTCTCTCTATCTCCCTGTCTCACTGTCTCTCTGTCTCTCTGTCTCTCTGTGCCTCTGTCTCTCTGTCTCTCTGTCTCTCTGTCTCTCTGTCTCTCTGTCTCTCTGTCTCGCTGTCTCTCTGTCTCTGTCTCTCTGTCTCTCTGTCTCTCTGTCTCTCTGTCTCTCTGTCTCGCTGTTTCTCTGTCTCTGTCTCTCTGTCTCTCTGTCTCTCTGTCTCCTTGTCTCTCTGTCTCGCTGTCTCTCTGTCGCTGTCTCTCTGTCTCTCTGTCTCTCTGTCTCTTTGTCTTTTTGTTCCTCTGTCCCTCTGTCTCTCTGTCCCTCTGTCTCTCTGTCTCTCTGTCTCCCTGTCTCTCTGCCTCTCTGTCTCTCTGTCTCTCTGTCTCTCTGTCTCTCTGTTTCTCTGTCTCTCTGTCTCTCTGTCTCTCTGTCTCTCTGTCTCTCTGTCTCTCTGTCTCTCTGTCTCTCTGTCTCTCTGTCTCTTTGTCTCTCTGTCTCTCTGTCTCTCTGTCTCTCTGTCTCTCTGTCTCTCTGTCTCTCTGTCTCTGTCCCTCTGTCTCGCTGTCTCGCTGTCTCTCTGTCTCTCTGTCTCTCTGTCTCTCTGTCTCTCTGTCTCTCTGTCTCTCTGTCTCTCTGTCTCTCTGTCTCCCTGTTTCTCTGTCTCTCTGTCTCTCTGTCCCTCTGTCTCTCTGTCTCGCTGTCTCTCTGTCTCTCTGTCTCGCTGTCTCTCTGTCTCTGTCTCTCTGTCTCTCTGTCTCTGTCTCTCTGCCTCTCTGTCTCCCTGTCTCTCTGTCTCGCTGTCTCTCTGTCTCTGTCTCTCTGTCTCTCTGTCTCTCTGTCTCTCTGTCTCTCTGCCTCTCTGTCTCTCTGTCTCTCTGTCCCTCTGTCTCTCTGTCTCGCTGTCTCTCTGTCTCTCTGTCTCGCTGTCTCTCTGTCTCTGTCTTTCTGTCTCTCTGTCTCTCTGTCTCTCTGTCTCGCTGTCTCTCTCTCTCTGTCTCTCTGTCTCTCTGTCTCTCTGTCTCTGTCTCTCTGTCTCTCTGTCTCTGTCTCTCTGTCTCTCTGTCTCTGTCTCTCTGTCTCTCTGTCTCTCTGTCTCTCTGTCTCTCTGTCTCTCTGTCCCTCTGTCCCTCTGTCTCTCTGTCTCTCTGTCTCTCTGTCTCTCTGTCTCTCTGTCCCTCTGTCTCTCTGTCTCTCTGTCTCGCTGTCTCTCTCTCTCTGTCTCTCTGTCTCTCTGTCTCTCTGTCTCTGTCTCTCTGTCTCTCTGTCTCTGTCTCTCTGTCTCTCTGTCTCTCTGTCTCTCTGTCTCTCTGTCTCTCTGTCTCTGTCTCTCTGTCTCTCTGTCTCTCTGTCTCTCTGTCTCTCTGTCTCGCTGTCTCTCTGTCTCTGTCTCTCTGTCTCTCTGTCTCTCTGTCTCTGTCTCTCTGTCTCTCTGTCTCTCTGTCTCTCTGTCTCTCTGTCTCTCTGTCTCTCTGTCTCTGTCTCTCTTTCTCTGTCTCCCTGTCTCTCTGTCTCGCTGTCTATCTGTCTCTGTCTCTCTGTCTCTCTGTCTCTCTGTCTCTCTGTCTCTCTGTCCCTCTGTCCCTCTGTCTATCTGTCTCTCTGTCTCCCTGTCTCTCTGTCTCTCCGTCTCCCTGTCTCTCTGTCTCTCTGTCTCTCTGTCTCCCTGTCTCTCTGTCTCTCTGTCTCTCTGTCTCTTTGTCTTTTTGTTCCTCTGTCTCTCTGTCTCTCTGTCTCTCTGTCTCGCTGTCTCTCTGTCTCTCTGTCTCTCTGTCTCTCTGTCTCTCTGTCTCTCTGTCTCTCTGTCTCTCTGTCTCTCTGTCTCTCTGTCTCTCTGTCTCTTTGTCTTTTTGTTCCTCTGTCTCTCTGTCTCTCTGTCTCGCTGTCTCCCTGTCTCTCTGTCTCTCTGTCTCTCTGTCTCTCTGTCTCTCTGTCTCTCTGTCTCGCTGTCTCCCTGTCTCTCTGTCTCTCTGTCTCTCTGTCTCTCTGTCTCTCTGTCTCTCTGTCTCTCTGTCTCTCTGTCCCTCTGTCTCTCTGTCTCGCTGTCTCTCTGTCTCTCTGTCTCGCTGTCTCTCTGTCTCTGTCTCTCTGTCTCTCTGTCTCTCTGTCTCTCTGTCTCGCTGTCTCTCTGTCTCTGTCTCTCTGTCTCTCTTTCTCTCTGTCTCTGTCTCTCTGTCTCTCTGTTTTTCTGTCTCTCTGTCTCTCTGTCTCTGTCTCTCTGTCTCTCTGTCTCTGTCTCTCTGCCTCTCTGTCTCCCTGTCTCTCTGTCTCGCTGTCTCTCTGTCTCTGTCTCTCTGTCTCTCTGTCTCTCTGTCTCTCTGTCTCTCTGTCTCTCTGTCTCTCTGTCACTCTGTCTCGCTGTCTCTCTGTCTCTCTGTCTCGCTGTCTCTCTGTCTCTGTCTCTCTGTCTCTCTGTCTCTCTGTCTCTCTGTCTCGCTGTCTCTCTGTCTCTGTCTCTCTGTCTCTCTGTCTCTGTCTCTCTGTCTCTCTGTCTCTCTGTCTCTCTGTCTCTCTGTCCCTCTGTCCCTCTGTCTCTCTGTCTCTCTGTCTCTCTGTCTCTCTGTCTCTCTGTCTCTCTGTCCCTCTGTCTCTCTGTCTCTCTGTCTCTGTCTCTCTGTCCCTCTGTCTCCCTGTCTCTCTGTCTCTCTGTCTCTCTGTCTCTCTGTCTCTGTCTCTTTATCTCTCTCTGTCTCTTTGTCTTTTTGTTCCTCTGTCCCTCTGTCGCTCTGTCTCTCTGTCTCTCTGTCTCTCTGTCCCTCTGTCTCTCTGTCTCTCTGTCTCTCTGTCCCTCTGTGTCTCTGTCTCGCTGTCTCTCTGTCTCTGTCTCTCTGTCTCTCTGTCTCTCTGTCTCTCTGTCTCTCTGTCTCTCTGTCTCTTTGTATTTTTGTTCCTCTGTCCCTCTGTCTCTCTGTCTCTCTGTCACTCTGTCTCTCTGTCTCTCTGTCCCTCTGTCTCTCTGTCTCTCTGTCTCTCTGTCTCTCTGTCTCTCTGTTCCTCTGTCTCTCTGTCTCTCTGTCTCTCTGTCTCTCTGTCTCTCTGTCTCTCTGTCCCTCTGTCTCTCTGTCCCTCTCCAGGGCCAACCCTCCCCAGGAGCCCCTAGAGGAGATGGAAACAGCAGGATCAGTAGCAGCAGCACGCGCCACCATCACCCCCTATGCTGCAGCTGCTGCAGCAGCAGCCGCACAGCAAGCAGCAGCGGCAGCCGGAATAGGTTTTAAAAGTCCTGGGGTGAGAGGAGGAGGAAGGGGGAGAGGTGGAGGTGGAAGGGGTGGAGGGGGATTTGAAGGTTCGGGAGCCGGGGGGTACCCAGGTTCGGGGATTGCAGGTTTGGGATCCGGTTTGGGATCCGGTTTGGCAGGAGGTTATGGCTTGCCAGGAGGTCCGGTAGGAGTCTTGGGAATTCCGCCTGCGTATGGTTTGGCAGGAGGAACGGGGATTTACGATGCTGGGCTGGGTTTGGGAGGGAGCGGGCTAGGCTCGGGAGCGCTTGGTTCGGGATACATGGGTGCAGGCTTGGGGGGAGGTTTGGGGATGGATCTGGGCAGTAGCTATGGGGGAGGAGGTTTGGGGGGAGGGGGAGGGGGAGGGGCAGCAGCAGCAGCAGGAGGAGGAGACCTGAGTTGGGGCCTGGGGATGGGGTACCAGGGTGGTGTGGGGGGGGGAGGACTTGGGGGGATTGGAGGGGGGTTGGGTGCGGTACTGGCCAGTTATCAAGGAGCAGGAGGAGCAGCAGGGGGAGCAGGGGGAGGGGGGATAGGGGGGATGGGGAGTGGTGCTGCCGGTGGTGGCTCTCTGACTGGTTTCTCTTCTGCTTATGATGCTGCTAGTTACGTTGATGCGTCTGGTTACCACCCTCCGTCTGGTTACACTACCTCGTCTGGTTACCAGCCTTCGCCTGGTGCTGGTTTTGATGATCCTTCAAGTGAGTTCCCCTGACCCTGCCACTGCCGCTGCCGCTGCCCCTGCCGCTGCTGCTGCCGCTGCCGCTGTCCCTAGTTTTGCTGTTGCTTCTGGTTTTGTTTCCCCACCTTGGCATTTCCCATATGTGTGTTCACTGCGTTACCACCATCCGACAAGTCTCAAAGCACACCGCTCCCTCCGGTACCACCATTCCGCCTCACTCCATTTTAAGCAGAGAATGGCGCAGGGCAGGGTCGTCCCAGTGTCATTGTGCCGTCTCCGTTTTCACATTGCTGAGGACAGCGCGAGTTCATTCATTATTCCCATATTTCTTGCCGTGTCCCTTCATTCACTCCATTCAGAGCGCAGGAGGGTGCAGGCAGGATGATCCCAGTCCCGTGTTGCCGTCTCCGTCTTCACATTGCTGCGGACAACACGAGTTCATCAGAATTAATGCATCTCCCCCATGTCAAGTCTATTTCATGTCTTGTCCCTTCATTCACTCCATTCAGAGCGCAGGAGGGTGCAGGATCGCCCCTTTGTCAAAACAGAGGCATCCGAGCCTCATGGTCACGCCCAGGGCCAGGGGCAGGGGCAGGCTCGGATTGAGCTTCGGTTGCTGGGGCAAGCGATAGGGTCGGTGCTGGGGAAGGGTGGGAACACGATCAAGAACATTCGGCAGATGTCTGGAGCTAACATCAAGGTAAGGCTGTAATTCTGTGTATGGTGGGGAAATGCGGGGGAAGGCCGCATTACAGCTGATCAAGAACACTCAGCAGATGTCTGGTGCCAACATCAAGGTAAGGGCGTGAAACTCTGCTTCTTTGCATTGCATTAAAGTTGAGGAATGGGATGGGGGCTGAGGACGGGGGTTGGGGAAAAGAGGGGAGGGCTGCTGATCAAGGTAGGAATCCTGCGGCTCACAGTTGATCAAGGGCATTGAGCAGAATCCTGCGGCAGATTATCATGGTAGGATTGTGAGAGTGCGTGTCTTTGCATGCATGTGCAGGAAGGTGAAAGGGGTTGTGGAAGTGGGGGAGGCCGGGCGTCACATTTCATCAAGAACATTCGGCAGAGTTGTGCTAATGATTATCATGGCAGGGTTGTGATTGATGCAGATGTGGCAGGTATAACTGACGTATCAAACTTTTAAATCTAGATTACAAAGAGAGAATAGGTTCAAGGTGGGTTCAATCATATTGCAATCTAACTGTCGAGAACTCTTCAGAGTCTGACTAAGCCTTGATTGTTTAGATCTTGTTGCTTTTGTCTTCTTCTTTTTCTGTTCCTGTGTCCGCAATGGCAGATCCAGCCCCCGGAAGCAGGCAACACGGACAGGATTGTCGAGATTTCTGGCAACCCAACGCAGGTAGGCAGCTAATTGGGTAGGCTGCTACTTGGGTAGGCCGCTAATTGGGTAGGCTGCTACTTGGGTAGGCCGCTAATTGGGTTGGCTGCTACTTGGGTAGGCCGCTAATTGGGTAGGCTGCTACTTGGGTAGGCCGCTAATTGGGTAGGCTGCTACTTGGGTAGGCCGCTAATTGGGTAGGCTGCTACTTGGGTAGGCCGCTAATCGGGTAGGCTGCCACTTGGGTAGGCCGCTTATTGGGTAGGCCGCTAATTGGGTAGGCCGCTAATTGGGTAGGCCGCTAATTGGGTAGGCCGCTGATTGGGTAGGCTGAAAGTACTTTTGAGGCGCCTCAAAAGGTAGCACGGACAGGGTTGTCGAGATTTCTGGCAACCCAACGCAGGTAGGCTTAAAGCCACATGCAGGTTTCTAGGAGAAGTCTTTATGATGAGGAGTCCTTTGAAAAAAACAACCACAGACGAGATTGTGAAGATGACTCAGATTCGACTCTGGTAGGCTCGCTGGTGCATGCACACTGCCATTAAAACCCTTCATGTTCCAATAGTCTCACTTCGTCTTCCCCCCCCGTCCCCCTCCCCTTTCTCCCTCCTCCCCGTTTTTTTTCCTTTTATTCATTTATTTCTTGGCCTGTTCTTTCCTCGTCCGTTCGCTTTCACTCCATTGTTCTCCAATCATCCTGCTCCACTCAGTCCTCTCCAATCCTCCACTCATCTCCACTCCTCCCCAGTCCTCCCCATTCTTCTCCACTCTTACCCATTCGTCTCTAGTCCTCTCCCTTTCCTCTCCATTCCTTCCACTGTTCAGCACGCATCTCCACTCTCCATGTGCTGAGGCCCTCAAAATACCTTGATGCCTTCCGTCCTAACTTCCCATGTCGCATCCCATGCGTTGTGTCCAGATGTCTCAGTTGAGTCCCATTATGTGATCTTCTGTGCATCCCCTATCCATTCTCCACCTTTCCTCCGTGCCAGGTGTCCAGTGCAGAAGCTCTGATCAAGGCGTGTGCTGCTGCAAGATAATGTCATGACATGATTGGTTAGGCGTGAGGCAGTTTGATTCTCTATGCATCCGAGGTGTCCAGTGCAGAGGCTCTGGTCAAGGCTAGTGCTGCTGCGAGATAATGTGATGACATGATATGGCTGGTCTATGAGCGGTTAGGTAGGTGTGAGGCTGTTCATCAGTCTGGTGCTGAGCCTCTCATCAAGGCATGCGCAGCTGCAGCTGCAGCTGCGAGATGACCGTGAGCTATGGTTATGATGTGACATGGCATGATTTGTTAGGTTAAACTTTGTATGCTGTGCAGGTTTGTCGTGGGTATTGGTGTCAATCTGGAGTAGTAGTATCAGTGTTCTGTTCCAGGTGTGGGTAAAAACTGCTCTACAGAAAGAATGAAACAATCTGGAGCTGAGAACCATCTTTGCAGTACTACTGACTAGTTTTACAAACAAAGCTGTACAATGTTTTACAGATGAACAAAAGAACAGGAACTGTACAAAAGCAAACAGCAGAAGAAACAACACATTCTAATGGAAGAAAAAGCCAACCGATGGGTTTTGATGAGTAGTACACAATCAGGCTATTGCATTGCAGGCATACGGTATTCATTTTCACATTTACCTTAGGCCGACCCAATTCCTCCTTCCCCTTCCATAGCCTTGGCCTCGGACTCCCGACCCATAAATCCCTCTCCACCGGTCTCAGCCCCTCCCGTCTTCCCTCCAGCAGCAGCAGCACCAGCCTCCTTCGCCTTGGCGATATCACCCGCTGAAGTCACTTGACCCCCAGCAGTCACGTCACTCCCAGCATCCCTCACCATTCCCGCCTCAGCCGTAGCACCAGTAGCTGGGCTCTTCTCCCCACCAGTAGGCTCAGCACTCCCCCTTGCGCCAATGCTCTCCCCCCCCACATCTCCTCCCATCATCTCAGTATCCCCTCCCCCTGTTGCGCCCATCCCTCCTCCCATCCCCCCTGCTTCCCCCCCAGCCGTTCCCCCTCCCCCCATCCCAGTTGTTCCCAGACTCTCCCCCCCAATCCCAGCCCCCATAGCACTCATATCCGTCCCCTTCCCCATCTGCCCCATCCCACCTGCTGCTGCTGGCACACCAGTGGCAGTACCACCACCCATAGCACCACCACCACCCATTGCAGGCACACCCGTAGCAGTCACACCCGTTTCAGTCACACCCGGGCCAGTCACACCCATGGGCTGCATGGTAGTGGAGTAGTAAATCGTCCTCCCCTTGGTATCAGTCACAGCAGCAACTCCCGTCGCGCCTCCCCCTGCAGTGGGGAATTCCTGGGCCGTGCAGGTGAAGCCTGGGCCTGTTGCCGTTGCCACGTAACCGCCGCCAGCGTAACCGGGTGCAGAGACAGCTGTTCCTCCTGCTGCGTAGCCGGGAGCGCCAATTGCTGCTGCCTGCGTGGGCTCCGTTGAAAACTGCTCCTGCTGTAAAAGCAGAAAGGGAGAGGAGAGCAGAAAAAGGGAGGGAATAGCAGACGGCGGGGGGGAAAGGGGTATGGTATATGGGTTCCCGATGGGCGCGTGTTGAAAAGGAAGGTAAAAGAAAGTCGAGAAGCGTACCTTGGCCTGTCCCTCCATCTCCTCCCGCCTCGGCTGCTCCTGAGACATGTTGGCTCGAACGTTGAATCGAAGGCGAAGATTCCTCCGCAGAAATTCAGGGAGAGCAGAATACTAGGGAGAGTCGCGAAGCGAGAAGACTGGCTGGAAGAACGTCGACCCAACTGATCGACAGATCAGGAACAACTTGAATTTACAGTACCCCATGGCTTGATGGACCGCGGCTCGTGCTTGGAAACAAAATCTCACACATTCCTTCCTGCGTGATGGTCGGCGCGGTGCGGGATTCAAAGGCGGCTCGGAAAATCGCGAAAAGGCGACGCGGAGGTTGATGGATGGGATGAATGATGGATGGAGATGGGTGGCACGTTCTGGCGTGCTCCGCGCTGCAATTGGCTGCTCGTGCACGCCATGCGCGAGAAGAGCCAGTTTGGCGCTACCACGTGTCGGCAAATCTCTCCTCGTGCAGCCATGATCACCGTGAAGAGAAGGTGGGGGGGGGTTCCCTAGGGAGTGACAGGCTGACAGGAACTCGGCTAAAAAAAGGAATAACCTCAATAGCGAGACTTCATTAAGAACGGACTTCGTAACTCGTAGTACCAGTAAAATACGTTTTGTACCAAGTTACTGCACAGAAAATCATACAAGACACTCCTGAATCTACCAGGCCTTATGGCTTTATCCACTAAGCTATACAGAATGTACTTCATGACATGAAATAGGGTGTATCAAATAGGCTATCAGCGGGGCTGTAACTGGGGCCTCCGAACTCACTTGCACAAATTATCTCATCTGCCTCAGCCCTATCTCCCTTCCAATTCGTGTCAGCACTCTCGAAGGGATTTCCTCTTGCAACAGCAGCACTGTCGAAAAGGCCACTCACAGATGGACTGCTGTTGTGTGCCTGAAGACCTACATCAATATCTGTTGCTGAAGGGCTGCAATTCCAGAATGGAGCTAATGAGCCTGGCCCTGGGGAAAATGGTTCTGGAGAGAGGGATCTTGAGAGAAAAGGATCTGGAGGCAAGGCCGTTGCTTCTGGAGAAGTTCTGCTACCAGGAAACGCTTCTTCAAATGAGTCTTCATCGAAACAGCCTCTAGCTTCGAAACCTTTTGCAAACATTGATGTTCCACACTCGATAAGACTTTCCTCTCCAAGAAATGCATCAGCTCCAAGGGAGCTTTCTGCTTCAGGAATGCTTCGGACACTGCCAAACATGACTTCAGAGACATCCCGGTGTGCCTCTTCAGACCCGAAGAGCCAGTCATGTACCCCGAAATCCTCCATGTCTACATTCGCAAGAGGAATCGTATGTCGTGGTTGTTCATTCCAAAATGCTTGTCTCGGGCTTGAAGTGAGATCCTTATTAACCTGTAACCACCACTGTCTCAGTCACGCTCCTGCAAAAACTCTAACACGAGCAGCCTCACCTTTCCGCCCGATGGAAGCATCGCAATGAGTTCTGGAGAAGGCGAGATATTGAGCTTGCTTAAAAGCTCATCGGCTGCTGTTTTACTGCAGCAAAACAAAGTCATGCTAAATGAGCAAGTAGCAAAAACTACATTTGCATAAATATGCACTGACAGACCTTTCACCCCTCTGAGCTGAGATGGCGTCCACATCCAGGACTCTTTTCGCAACGGCCTTCAAACTCTCTTTGACCGGGGAAAAGGAGAAAGACTTGTAGTCGCGACGGTGACCTGAAAACAGATGGAAACTGTACCATCATCAAGTGTTTGGTGGTTTCAAACCAAGCCATCTGCGATCATCTAGGGACATACCCAGCAATATCGCGTCTTCCTCTGCATCTCCAGATTCGACCGCAGCGGGTGATTTTGGTTCCTCACAACCGAAGCTCCAGTCCCACTCGTCCTCCTCTTTTGGACATTTGGCATGAAGCTCAGTTAAATTAACAAACAATGTAAACCGACAGCAGAAAACAGAAAAGGGACTTACGCTGCTTCTCAGTAGCACGAATCTTGGAGCTGGGAGGCGCAGTGTGGTTCTTCATGGTGATGACGACTTCTGTATGTCACACAGAATATGGTCAACAACAGATGCAGGAGGATAAAGATAACAAGAAGGTAGCTTACGAGGTGTGATACACTGGTTATCTCTCGGATGCACCCTGCATCGCACTACATCATTAGTACGGTATTACAGTGTATCTGAGATTGATCACAACCGCGGCCTCCTGACCTATTTTCGTTCTGGTTGTTCCCGAGCCTGACGTCCAATAAAGAACATCCCTCGCGCGACGTATCTATACAACACTCAATCAGAGAAAAAAAACCAACAAAAAAAACTCCATCGCAACAGCTGGTAAAATACGTACACTTGTGAAATATCCCACACCTGCTGGCTTTGGCATTCGCAATGGCGTGTGCTTTTCCAAGCTACGCTTCTGAAATCGGAACGTGGTGCCTTGTTCAACTGTCTTGTTCGCACCATCCACATTGTACGAGGGCTTGACTACTACTCCAGAGACATTCCGCGAGGAGATAAAGCTCCGTATTGGCCCTTGACGAGGAAGCGGCAATTTCTGTTCACATCGGTAAAGTTACTACAGAGACCTCGCTAAGACAAAAACTGGGTGGAGGATTCAAGTGGTGCGTACATCTTTCAACGAGCTCACGCGTTCTAGCCCTCCCCATCCACCTCCACGCCTTCGCTTCACCATCTGCAAGTTGCATAAAATCCCTAACGAGTATACGGGATGATGGAAAGAGAATGCAGCGGAAGGGAACAATCAATGAGACTGCTATTGAGTACAGGATCAGTGCATCAAAAGGAATGCGAAAGTTGAACTTGAACTGCTTCGTGCATGGATGTGAAGCAGAAGAAAATCTGAGAGCTTGGTTGGAGCAGGGACATGCGAGGCTTGAGCCCGAAGCTAGTGTATCAGGCGTACGCGTTACGGAAACGGATGCCGTTTCCTAATGTATTCCACGTTATATGCTTGTAAACATCAAACGCAATTCCATTTTAATTTCAGACTTCACCACTTCACCAACTGGAAACCTTTAACATTAGTAACACTGCTTCCAAAATCAAGTGAGTGGCACCATTTTTTGCGAAACTCAACAAATGCCGATAGCAACCATACAAACGATTGAAGACCATCTAAACTATTAGTCATGATGGAAAATGGAAGCAATTGGAGAATAAGATACGGGTACAATCTTCAAGCTTGATTCAATCACTTTGCAGCAGCTAGAGCAAATCCCACACGCTCAGCCACAAAAGCAGATGCTTTGTGAACCATGGTCACTCCTTCCATAAGTGCCTGCAAAGGAAAACGAGGGAGGATTAGTTAATCAGCATCCCATAGAGAAAATTGTACAGAAAAAGTCGACTTTATATTGCCATAATTCGTATCCTCACCTTGACTTGCAGTGCAATATCCCCAGTAAGCAGCACCACAGCGCCAGGAGCAACAAACTGGTGGTAGTAGAGGCAGCAAGACAACACCGCATCATCAGCCGAAAGCCTCTGAATACCACTGCCACCACCGCCACCACTGCTGATGCTGCTGCTGCTCCCAGTCACTTCGGCCTTCTCGTGGGCGCCCTGGGCTCTGAGCCACGGGGCTCTGCTGGCCAGGGCGTCCCTCAGCAGGCGCAGGGCTCTCCGGGCGTACACTCCCCTCGCCCTCTCCTTGTCATCCTTTATGCCGTCCAGCTCACGCACCACTGGCAGGGAGGGAGGGGGGAAGGTGGGGCAAGTGTGAATTGTAGGGGAGGCAGGGAGGGTGCACGGGAGGAGGAAAAGGGGCATTAGACGGCGGGAGGAAGGACAGATGTCACTGCTGCAACTGCTGCAACCGCTGCCGCCGCTGCTGCTGCTGCCAGGCACTTCTGCCTTTTCGTGGGCGCTCTGGACTCTGAGCCAGGGGCTCTGCTCGCCAAGGCGTCCCTCGCTCTCCTGCATGTGGAAGCACCACCACCACCCTCTCATTCCGTGGAACGCTGTCCGCCGCACTCCCTTGCAACCAAGCCCAGCTCCCCACAGTCACATATCTTCACACCTCAGCATACTCACCCCAATGTGCATCTTGACTCTCACCTGCATGCGGAAGCACCACCAACACCCTTTCATTTGTGGGAAACTATCCTCTTACTGCAACCGTAGCAGCACAACATCACTCACTCAACTTGTCGTATCTGCCTTTCCATCCCCTGTCACTCACTCACCTGCATGCAGGAGCAGCAGCACCACCACCCTCTCGTTCCGTGGAAAGCTGTCCGCCACGCTCCCCAGCAGCCTCACCTCCCCACCCACTTATACCTTCATATCTGCATTCCCACTCCCGTCCCCTCTCTCACTCACTCACCTGTGTGAGGGAGCACCACCACCACCCTCCCTCTGCTGGGGAAGCTATCCGCCACACTCCCTAGACGCATAGCATTCCCACCCATTTACCTGCCTTCCCAATTCCATTCTCATCCCCTCTCTCTCACCTGCATGCGGGAGCACCACCACCACCCGCTCATTGCGGGGAAAGCTGTCCGCCACGCTCCCCAGCAGCCCAGCCCAGTTGCTCCCTGCAGCAGCCACAGCCGCAGCAGCTTGAATGGATGCCACCACTGCTGCAGCAGCGGCACCAACAACAGTGGCACCAGGCGCAGCGGCAGCAGCAGCACCGGCAGCAGCGGCAGCAGCAGCAGCAGAAGCAGAAGCAAAAGCAGAAGCAGCTGGAGCTGGCAGAACACCAGGAGCAGTGACAGTGGCAGAACCACCAGCCAGACCTGCACTCTGTGCTTCTGTGTGCCCCACCCCTTCTGTCCACCTGACCCCTTCAGTTTGTCCGAACCCTCTCTCTGTGTTCCGGAGCCCCCACGCAATGAGCCTATAGAGCGCTGCCACCTCAGCCACGTCCAGGAACACGTTCGTGTCCACCACCAGGTACCACGTGGTTACCACGTGGGAGGCGCTTGTAACCGCGGGTACAGTGTGGTCTGCAGCATTGGTAACCGCATGCAGGGTGTTTGGACTGGTGTGTTGTGCACTGTAAGGTGCTTGCGTAGCATGTGGATGGGTTAGTGAAGATACGGTGTGAGGGTGATGTGTGACTGATTGCTGCGGGTACGACTGCTGCTGGTGGTGCTGGTACGGCTGCTGTTGATGCTGCTGATATGACTGCTGGAGTTGCTGCTGGTACGGCTGCGGCTGCTGATGTTGCTGCTGCAGCTGCTGCTGCCCCTGATCGTACACCTGCTGCTTCTGCTGTAGCTCCTGCTGGTATGTCTGCGGCTGCTGCTGGTACGCCTGAAGCTGTTGGTGGTAAGCCAACCACTTCCGATGCTCCTCGCTCTGCTCGTACTCATAGTACCTCTGCTGTTCCACGCTTTCACAGTGCTGCTGCTGCTGCTGCAGCAGCGGTTGCTGCTGTTCCTGCTGCTGTTCCTGCTGGCGCTGTTGGTGGTAAGCCAGCCATTTTCTGTACTCCTCGCTCTGCTCGTACTCCTGACAACTGCCTTCATGGTAACTGTACCCGTCCCTCTTCTGCTCCTCAACTGCCTGGAACTGGCTGTGCTCGTTACTGTGCTCTTGCTGCTGCAGATGCTGCGGCTGTTGGTGATAGTGCTGGTGCTGCTGTTGCTGCTCGTGGTATTGCTGAACCTGCTGCTGCTGCTGTTGCTTCTGCAAGTGCGACTGATTCGTTTGCTGTTGATCCTGCCACGCATACTGCGTCTGCTTCACCTCCAGCCGTACCTCTCCACTTGCAGGATAACTGCAATTCTCGGGCCGCCCCTGGCTCATACTCCCGCTATTGGCACTATCCGTACAGTCATCATCACCAGCACTCGAGTACCCTGCGTTCCACAAGCAGGTCAAACCGTCAGAGCCGGAAACACTGCTCTGGCTGTAGCAGACTGCTTCAGAGCCGGAGACGCTGTTGTGGCTGTAGCAGCCAGATGCATCGCTGGAAGCTGTAGCAGTAGCAGCACCAGCAGCGGCAGCAGCAGCAGCAGCAGCAGCAGCAGTAGCAACAGTAGCGGATGCAGCAGCATTGGATGCAGGGGCGGAGAGAAGGGGTGGAATAAATGGAATGGGATGGGCACAAAGCGAGGATGAGGCTGGGTCCGGGGGAGGTGAAGCTGGGGGAGGGGGAGTGGCGGGAGGGGGACCTGGGGGAGGCGGGGGAACCAAGGGAACTGGGGGGACTGGGAGCAGTGGTGGAGGCGCAGTCCGGCTTCCCCCAGGTGCTAATCGCTCCTCCAAGGACACTCCGATCGGGGGAGGGGGCGGAGGAGTCATGGGCGGAGGCCCAGGCGGAAGGGGAGGAACTGCGGCAAGGGGAGCACTCTCAAAGTGGGATGGGCGGAAGTTGCTCCCCCCATAGGCGGGAAGGCTGGAGAGGGGAGAAGGAGGCGGAAGGGGAGGCGGAAGGGGGTTTTCCGGAGGGGGGCCTGGGGGGAGCGGAGGAAGCGGAGAGAACGCGGCTTCTTCATTGGTTAGAGGGGGAGGCGGAGGAAGCGGGTAAGTAGGGGGGGTCGCTTTGCCCTGAGGAGAAGACGAGGGCAACACTGCAGCAGATGATGTTGCAAGAGCAGATGTAACAGCAGCAGGAGCACCAGCAATTGTTTTACCAGCTGGAAAGCAAGTGTTGGAACATAGCCTGCTGATTGTTCGTCCTAGCCTTGCCTCTGCTGCAGCAGCGGATGCGGCAGCTGCTGCAGCTGAAGCTGCTGTTCCGGCTGCTGCTGCTGCTGCTGCTGATTGCGCTACTCGTGGCGCTGCTGAGGTGGCGCTGCTGCTGGTGCAGCTCCCGCTGCTGCTGACGTTGCTTCCACTTCTGCTCTTCGCAGGAGACCCCAGAATACTAGTCGCGAACATGTTGTGGTAACCAGACGGGTAATTAGCGTTGGACCCAGACGACTCTTCAGAATCCGAGTCCTCGTCATCCCCGCCAAAGAGCTGCTCCGTTATTCGCTTCTGCATCTCCAGTGACGAAATTGCCGTGTGGCGACGGGGAGCCGTACCAGCAGCAGCGACCCCCATACCACTGGCACCGCTACCACCACCACCACCAGCACCACCAGCAACGCCGCTGCCACCACCAACAACACCGGCCCGAGTAGATTTCTTCAATCCGAACGAGATCTTCTTCCCAAAGATTCCTCCTCGGGGACCATCATCCAGATTGCCTTTGCCCGGAGAACCGTCCAGACATTCTGAACGGTTAGCCGGCAGCTTGCTGGCAAAAACACCGTCATCCTCGCCGGACGGCAAGGCGGACGACGTTCCCGAGGCAACAGCGACATTTTCTGACACCAGGTTATTCCGTCCAATGAACGCGTGCCAGTTGGCACGTCCCGCATCTGCGTGGCCCAGCGATTGGTTCTTCACCACCGCTTTCTCGCGCTGCTTCGCGCGCGCGACTCGCGCCGCCTCGGGTAACAAAGCCTGGGACTTCGGAGCCCTTCCGCTCGACCCGGAGATAACATCCCCTGAAGTCGCCGCGTGACCCGTTGCAGTGTAAGGCGGGCGACAGGAATCCGAAGGACTTTCGTTAACAGGAGATTCAGTAGAAGGCGAAGGCGAGTTAGCTACACCTACCAGTACACTAGCCGGACTGCTGCCTTGTATATTGTCATTACTCTTTTCCGTTTCCGTACGTCCCTGCTTCAGAGATCTGCTGGGTCTCTGTGCTGCTGCTGCTGCTGGAGGGGGGGTTTGCATAGACGGAAAATCGTCGCTGTCACCTTCGTTACGCGGTAACTCGTCGCCAGGATTTTCGTCAGTCGTTTTCGACAATACCACCTCTTCCAGAGCCTTCATCAGCTCCTCCAGCTCTCGCTCGAAACGCGCTTCGCGTTCTTCCTCCTCTCTGCTCTCATTCTTAGCTTCACTAAGTTTGTTCATAATTCCGATTGGTTGCTGGCTGTCAACGCAATCCATGGCGTCACCCACGTTACCGTTCTGCACGCGAGTTACAGTTCCCCCAAACACGGAAAGCTATGAATCGACGAAGCAGTCAAGGAAGCTATGAATCCGAATGTGGTAACGCTCGGATTGAAAACGGTTCCCTAAAACAAGCTTACGAGTTTCTCACCGGAGCATTGTCAACGCGAGAAGGAAGTGCTTAATCTAGAGAAACAAACTTCGGTCTGCTAGCAACACTTCCCTCCAGACTCGACGAACATTATAGGTCAGCTCAAGAGATTTGTTAAAAGGCTCTAACATGATGGTGCCGATGATGCTAATGATGTAGGGAAATCTAGGAAATGCTGAAGATGGTCACATGGAGTTAGCTGATTCAAAGAGCGAGGCAATCAAGGAATCAGAAATCAGCAATGCGCTTCGAAATGGTGTCAGGCGATGGTGGGGGTGGGGGGAACTGATACCAGCAGAACTAGGGAGCGAGGCAAGCAAAAATCATGCCTGCTGCAGAACAACGTGATGGTGAATCCATCCATCCATGGATGACCTGGGTGGGGAAACCATGAAGCTAGAAACGAGGGCATGTCACGCTTGTTCAATTCCCTTCAATAAAACGGTTGACAGCAATAGTGTGCGCTCTAGAGCGGTTTAATGTTTCGCCGCTCCCAAACATGATTTGGGTGGATCCGTGTCGCTTCGCCGTCAGATGGGCGACGAAGTCGCCTGCTCGCGAGACCTTGTGGCTGACACTGTTCATGATTTACTGGATGCAGCGATGTGTCAGAAAATTTGAACATTCACTTCGCCTCCTGCTTCTTGGCGCGTACTTCAATTCCCCAGCATAAGAACAAATTCAAAAGATTATACTCTTTACATGTTATTACACACAGGAAAATACTTCTAAATGCCACCACCATCCACTCTCAAGCACTTCAGGGAAGGAAACAACGAGTACAGACTTTTAAACAGCAACTTCAGCGTAGCGCAATTCATGAGGTCCAGCTGATTGATCGACGTGAATCTCCAAATGAAACGTGGCAGGCATGTTAAATCTTTTGCGCAGATCTGCAGCCTTCGGAGGTTCGGGGGGCACGACACCGTTCCGTCAATCATCCCAACATAGCTGAAAATGCCATTGAAGCGGAGGGTGTGCAGCGAAAGAAACTGCGAGAGGGAAGCGAGAGAAGCTCCCGAGTTGACGTACATGCCAATAACCAGCACTTGGAGCTTGGGCAGAACGGGAAGAGGGGAGGAGCGTGGAAGCGAATCCAAATACAAGACCTGGAGGTTCGGACAGTGCAGCAACAGCTCATGGCGAAAGTTTCGCACAAGAGACCCCATCAGGTGCTTTCCACGCCACGTTCGCACATCCCTCACCTCCAGAAGCATCAAGTCAGGAAAGAAGCAGGAGCAGCTGTCATTCCTAAGAGCAGAACCACTCCTGGCACTTATGTAAACACCAGAGAGCTTAAGCACCCTAAGGCTGGCCGATGCAAGTGCAGGAAGGTCCAGGCGGACAGGTTGAGGGAGGAAGGAGGGAGCGACAGCTGGGGACGGGGTGACAGAGAGGACGGTGAGGGAGGCAGGCAGAGAGGCACCACTTCTCATTGCTGCTACTAGCAAGTCTCCATCCACCTCCAGTTCCGCAATCCGCCTCCCCTCGCCTGCCCCCTCACCTGCTGGAGGGGCGAAAGGGGCAGTAGATGCAGCATTGGCAGCAAGAGCAGCAGGAGCAGCAGGAGCAGCAGGAGTAGCAGGAGTAGCAGGAGTAGCAGGAGCAGCACGATGAGCAGCAGGGCCAACGAGTTGGTGTGCGTTCAACATTGCCACGGTGCCTCGGGACATGCGCAGCTGCTCCAGCTGCTGGGTTCTGCTCGCCTCCTCACCTCCCTGCCCACCCCGCTGCTGCTGCTGCTGCTCGTTCCCACCAATCCCTAGCTGTTCCTCCTGCGGCTGATGCTGCTGTTGATCTACCCCATCCCTTCCTGTTGTCTCCGGGTGGGTTTCACCAAGTGCCGCCATCATCAGTCCGGGCACCGGGTGACCCAGCAGCTGCAGACAGGACAAATGCCGCAACCCGGACACGCCTGCCTCATAAGCATGCCTCTGCACGCCCGGTTGAAAGGCCGGGTTGCGAATGGAAAGAGAGCGAAGGGCAGATAGTTCCCATATCGAAAGTGGAAGGTGTGCCATAAAAGGGAGGGTGAGAGCGAGGGAGGTGAGAGTGTCTTGAAGACCTGAAAACATGTTTTCGTAGAGCCTCGGGACTGGGTAGGCTTTCTCCCAATCAGAGCCCATTTGCAGCTCCAGATGTGACAGTAACGAGAGGTGACTGAATGGGGCGGAGGAGCAGGTGACGGTGCAAGCAGGATCTGACACGTGGAGGGTGAGGGATTTGAGAGACGGGACGGAGGGGAGGAGGGAGGGAGGGATGGTTTTGAGTGAGAGCGAGAGGTGGGAGAGGCGGGAGAGGAGAGGGATGATGGTTAGAGGGAGGTGAATGGTGGAGAGCGAGTGGTTGTGGGAAGGCGGGAGGTCGAGGGACGGAGCAAAGTGTAGACAGGGGGAGGAGGAGGAGGATGAGGTGGAGGAGGAAGAGGGGGAGAAGTTGGAGGTGAGGAGGTGGAGGGAAGTGAGGTGTGAGCATCGTTGGAGCAATAGCATGAGACCGTGAACTGAATCTGGATGGGATTCTGGGTTTTGGCTGTTGCCAGTACTTTCTGAATCCCCAATGTTGTCAGTCGGGTTTTGATTGTCCTCGGCAGCGGCATTGAAGATTCGGCCTCTGCTATTGGAGGGGAGAGGGACTGTATCAGGAGGTTGGGAGCGCGTGCCTGTGGCCTGTAACGGGTGCCATCGGCTCTTTCTGTCGCCTTCCACCTGCCGACCGAACTCGATGTGACAATGGCGAAGGGACGGGCAGCAGCGGGCAACAATGTGGCAGATGGCATCGATATAGTCACATCCGGCGTCAGTGCCCTCCCCCAAGGAGGGGCCAGCACCGAGATGAGACAGAAACGGGAGGTGGAGGGATGTGAGCTCTGGGAAGCTTCGCAGCAATGAGGCAACACGGTTCAGAGGCCAATATCTGGGACTCAGAGGCGTATCGAGTCGAAGCACGTCTTGTAACGAGGATAACGCCAAGGAGCGTGAAGCTAACGAGTCCAATCTGCCGCCAGACGCTTCCAGGGAAGGCAGAGAAGCTGATGCTTCGTTATGAGCAGCCGCAGCATCCGACGAGATGTCGGCTTTAGCTGGTACTATGAACGATGAAAGCGACGTTTGAAGCTCATTCAAGCAACGGCGCGCGTCCCGACCATCCCTATACGAATCGAATCCTCCCTCTGCCGCAGCAGAACTGGTGAAATCCACCCGCTGATTCATTGAATCTGGACGAGCATTTCGGAACTGGCGGAAAGGCAGCCGCAGCAGCGACTGCGAAATGGCAGAGGATTCGCGCGATGCAGACGACTGCGTCAATAGAGACTGTCTGAGCAATGGCTTCCACTCCAGCGAAAGCGGGTTCAGCGCGAGTGACACGTGGCAGGCTGACGGACGAACCACGTCTCTGTAGCAGCGCCACCACGAGCGACACGTGGCGCCTGCTCGTGCCACGTGCGCGGCGTTCGTTAGAAGGCAGAGGATTCGCGCGATGCAGTCGCTGGGAAGGGCCTGAGCACCGGACGCTTGCCGAACTTGAGTAGAACTCGCCGCCGCCGGTGGCGATCGCTCAGCAGGTGTGTTTTGAGTCGACTCCGAGTCGCAATGCGGCGTGCTGCAGTCCCTCGGCGGAAGGGCCTGAGCGCCGGACGCTTGCTGAACTTGAGTACTAGCAGCAGCCGCCGCCGCCGCCGCCGCCGCCGGCGGGGATCTCTCCGCAGGAGTGCTCTGAGGCGACTCACAGCGCGCGGCGCCGCAGTCGGTCGGAATGGGCTGAGCGCCGGTCGCGGGGGCCTGAAAAGCAGTCGCAGCCGCCGGCGATTGCTCTTCCCGCATCCCGGCGTGAGGCCGAAGCGGCGGTTGCTCTCCCTCCGTTACACCGTCAGGGTTTGTTGACAGTAGCGGTTGCTCTCCCTCCGTTACACCGTCAGGGTTTGTTGACAGTAGCGGTCGCTCTCCTTCCATTACACCGTTAGGGCTTGACAGGAGCAGTGAAGGCTGCACCGATGATGAAAACGGGCAGATCTCAGTCGCAGCCATCCCTCTGCGTGCCGTAGAAGAACCACACGGTATGCTACTCAGTGATAGCGGTGGCGCACTTGCGGTGGCGCACTAGCGGTGGCGCTACAACGCTAGCGGTGGCGCTGAGTGATACCAAGCTCACATAGCATTGGTTGGTAAGCTCCGCGCTGCTGATACGCACACATTCGAAGGTGGTCGCCGCAAATCTAGGAATGCCGCGTTGAATACAGACCGCGGGTGACGATGCGTTTTTTTAGCTCGCGGGAGCTACTATCTCCTTCAGAATGGCATTCTTGGAAAACGGATGATTCAGGGAAAAGGACGGCAGGACGAGGAGAGAATCACGGAGAGAATGAGGGGCAGAATGACAGACAGGACGCGATATGACCTGAATCCAAGAAAACTGCTGTGTTTGAATTAGGACGCGTCAACTCCCAGCACGTTGGGACGATCGATCCTGCGTAGGATCGATGTGCCATATATACAGTACTTTCACGAGCTGACGAAGTCTCTTGTTTCCCGTCTTTCTTCGCAAATGCACAATAAACCGGCAAGTACTTTCTTGTCCCCTCCGGATTTCACCACACTTTGCCACCGATCGTAGCATTTTGGTGAGCGGGAGCTACAATCGCGCGCTAGTTGACAGCCGCGATCGATCGGCGTCGCACATCGTTTCGAACGACACATGCCAGAGTCGCAGCTACGACAAATCCTGCCTCTGGGAAGGTGGGTTGTGTGCAAGCCACGTTGGTCAATGGAGTCAAGTCGCTCAGACACTGTTGGGAAACACTTTGCGACACCCTGCGAAGGGGGATTTGCAGCATGCAGCATGCCAAACCAGCACCCCGACCCTGCAACTCTACCCTTGTCAAGTGTGGCTTGGTGGTAGGGGTACACTGCCAATTTGCAAGTGTGGCACACCGGTGTTCCGATCGATCTTGCCAATATCGGTGTGCACTGCCGACCTTGCCTCGACCCTGCTAAGTTGCTGGGAGTTGACGCGTCCTTACTTCTTGCCCTGATCGGTAGCCCTAGCTCCGACCTCACACGGCACCTCTAGAGAAATTGTCAGGATGGTGGGGGGGATCGGGGCGGGGTCTCACACCGGTTTAGGACGAGTCACCTCCCTCGATCGATCGTGCAAAATCGAGGAAGTTCGATCGTCAACCGCACTAAACCCCTGTGTGTTGCATTTAAATTCAATTGGAAACTTTTTGAACCGAATAAAAAATCGAACCTGCGCAGGTTCGATTGAGGCAGGTGATGTGTCCGTAGGACGCAGCACCTCTAGCACCGACCGTGCGATCGATCCTGCGCATGATAGAATGTTTCAGGAGTTTAAAATGGTTCCAAAATGTTTAAATGCTTTTAGCAAACTTTTAGTACGGTTGAATTAGCGATCCTGCGATCGATCGTGCAAAATTGCTTGAGGTGCCGCGTCCAGGACGCGGCACCTTTAGGGAATTGGCCAGGATCGGGGAAGGATCAAAGCCTCACACCGATGTGGACACATCGATTAGCACACCGGCCTTGTTTGACAGGCAGGCACCTCCTTGGAGAGCTAGGGTTAGGGCGTGTAAAATTGTAACGACCAAAGGCAATGGTCGAACATTTGCGCGTTTCTGGCGATTGCAAGGTATTAGGGTTATGCCGATTTGATTAGTCACCCCGATTCGACCGAATTTTGATGGTATTTTCTGCCTCGAACTCTACGTACCGCATTGTGGGACATACCTTGACTAATTCTGAGCTGGGAGAACAAAAATATGTTACCATAAACCCTTTGCTTTGTTAAGCGCGCTAAATGTTTGTCAGTGTCCTCGTTATTTCCTATCCCATTCAAATACAGCAAAGGGACAAACAATTTCGCGTTTAATTAAGGGGGCGGTTAAGGGTGGGTGCTCCAAATGCTGACGAAATTGAAGACGGGGTTCGCTTAAGCGTCACATTTCGCACTCGCCTGAAACGTGCAAATGATCGATCATCTGGTTTGGGCGTTACGATTTACATGCCCTTAGGCTAGAGCTAGGAAGAGTTTTCGAAGTAACTTCCCCTAGGCTACCCCCCCACCCACGAAATCAGAAGCAGCGCCTCCCGATGTCAGAATGAGAGGGTCGTCATTGCGATGTTGCAACCCCTCCTTCCACCACCTTCATTGTGGGCAGGGTCTAAAATTTTACATGGGGATGGCATGGGAACCTGGGTAACTCGAGAGAATAGAAAAATATTGGAGAAGTGGAGAAGTGAGAGTCGTGTGTGGCTGGTGGCTGGTTTGGTTGTGGGAGGAAGGGACTTTTTCAGGGCAGAGATAGGAGAGGCGAGAGCAAGGGCACTGGTGGGAAAACTTTCGTAGGGTATGGGTGTCAATAGATCTGCGCTGTGGATGCCCGATTGATCCTGGAGAGGGTTACAGGCGCGTTTGTCTAGGGGGTTATGGGCGCACTGACCCGCTACTGAAACAAACCCTTTTATCCAAATGGTCTAGTGGTTGGGATTCTGACATGGTATCAGAGCGGTCTCGGGTTCGATTCCCGGTGTATGCACATGTAGGCCGTTGCCGCAGTGCTGAGTCCTGGGCCTCCCAGTGTGGGGGGGTTGTCAGTAGATCTGCACTGTGGATGCGCGATTGATCCTGGAGAGGGTTACAAGCGCGTCCGTCTTGGGGGGTTATGGGCGCACTGACCCACTACTGAAACAAGCCCTTTTATCCCAATGGTCTAGTGGTTGGGATTCTGACAATGGGGTGGGCATTCCCTCCTGTATGGAACCCTAGCCTAGCCCTTGGCCAACCTCCATTCTGGGGATTGGAGGGCTGGGCTAGAGCTAGGCTAAAGTCTGTGCGGGAGAGAAGGGGCTGGGAGCTTTCGGGGGGATGAACTTGAAGGGTTAACGTCGCGTTCGACAGGCTAACCCTTAACTCTTCAGGTTACAGGGCGTTAAAGCCCAGTGACACCAGATTGCGGGCTGACCGTGGGAAAAAAACTTAAGTGGAAACATCCGTGATGATTCCCTGGAAAGGCTTGCCTGCCTGTCGAACACCACCACCGATGTGCCCACACTGCTAAATTGCGATCGTATGGACTCACCAAGACACAGGTGCCACGATCGAAAATTTCTGGGGAAAATGGTCCCGATCTCCACAATTGCACAATCAGTGTGTGGGCGCATGCACATCGATCGTGCGAGCCAGAGGTGCCACCATTTGGGGCACCAATCGTCAAACATTATATATGTTGTTGTAGTTGTTTAGGCTACAGTGGGTTAGTCTATAGGGGGTACATATTCCTAGGTTTTGATACTTGTACCCATTATTCACTCTTAGTTCATTCATTCTTGTTCAACATGGTATAGAGCAGGTCCTTCCTAGGACCGATTTTTTTTTAGGGCCCACCACTACCTACCTACCTACCTGCGCCCTAGGGCGCCTCGGCTTTCACGCCCCTAGAGGCCCCGTCGACCCCGCGCTCTCGCACCTAGAGGCCTCGGTCGGCCCCGCGCTCGCATTTAGAGGCCCCGAATCGGCCCCGCGCTTACCCCTAGAGGCCCGCGTCGGCCCTGCGCTCGTCCTTACCGGCCTCGATCGGCCCCGCGCTCGTCCCTCACGGCCCCGATAGGCCCCGCGCTCGCCCTTAGAGGCCCACGTCGGCCCCGCGCTCGTCCCTTACGGCCCCGATCGGCCCCGCGCTCGTCCCTCACGGCCCCGATAGGCCCCGCGCTCGCCCTTAGCACCCACGTCGGCCCCGCGCTCGCCCTTAGCACCCACGTCGGCCCCGCGCTCGTCCCTCACGGCCCCACCCGCTCCCCGCGCTCGCCCTTAGCGGCCCCGAACGGCCCCACCCAGACCGAAGAGCCCGAACCGAACCGACCCGAGCCGCCCAGCCCTAACGAAACCGAGCCGCCCGACCCGAGCCGCCAGCCCTAACCGACCCGAGCCGCCCGAACCGAGCCGCCCGAACCGAGCCGCGCCGCGCGACCCGAGCCGCCCGACCCGAGCCGCGCCGCCCTACCTATACCGAGCCGTGCCGCCCTACCTGTACCGAGCCGCGCCGCCCTACCTACCCTACTGCTTCTACTGCTTTTCCTACTGCTGCTACCATGGCTAGCCCTCCTGTCCTAGCCTTCGATACTGAGGGCCGCCCAGTGAAGTTCGACACCTGGCTTGATGACCTACACCTCTTCCTACAGCTCACTGCCAAGGAAGACATCTCGCTGTACGATCATGCCTTAGGCCACGCTACTGCTCCTGCTGCTACTGCTGACAGCAGTGCCCGCTCACAGTGGCAGACTCGTGACGCCCATACTCGCTTCGCTATTCGCAACTCTCTGCCGATAGATGAGCGCGAGCACTTTGGGCAGCACAAGACTGCACAGGCACTGTACACTGCTGTCGTTGCCCGCTACTCCTCGCCGGCCTCTGCCGCTCTAGGCCGTCTCTCTCTTCCCTACCTGTTCCCCGACCTAGCTTCCTTCCACACTGTCGCTGATCTCATTACCCACCTCCGCACTAGTGAGGCTCGCTTCCGCGCCGCTATGCCTGATGAGTTCCTTGCCAAGAACCCACCCCCGCTCTGGCTCACTCTCTACCACCTAGTCACGCGCCTCCCTGACACTCTGCGCTCAGTCAGGGACCACTTCCTAGCTCGCTGCCCCACCGAGCTCACCATTGCCCTCCTCGAGAAGGAACTGCTTGCAGCTGAGGCTAGCATAGTGGCTGTAGGTGCCTCTCGCGGTGACCCCCGTACCCCGTTCTTTGAGGGGTGTTCTCCTTCCCCCCTTCTTCCCTCTGTCGCCTCTGCTGCTGCTGTCGACCTCCT